GCTCTACGCCTGGCCCTTTGCTGATGCCGTCCGCGCTGGCGTCGGTTCCGTCATGTGCTCTTATAATCAGATCAACAACTCGTACGGTTGCCAGAACTCCAAGCTCCTCAACGGTATCCTCAAGGACGAGATGGGCTTCCAGGGCTTCGTCATGAGCGATTGGGCGGCCCAGCACACCGGTGCCGCTTCTGCCGTCGCTGGTCTCGATATGAGTATGCCTGGTGACACCGCGTTCGACAGCGGATACAGCTTCTGGGGTGGAAATCTGACTCTCGCTGTCATCAATGGAACTGTTCCCGCTTGGCGAGTTGATGATATGGCTCTGCGAATCATGTCGGCCTTCTTCAAGGTTGGAAAGACGGTAGAGGACCTCCCCGACATCAACTTCTCCTCCTGGACCCGCGACACCTTCGGCTTCGTCCATACATTTGCACAAGAGAACCGCGAACAAGTCAACTTCGGAGTCAACGTCCAGCACGACCACAAGAGCCACATCCGCGAGGCTGCTGCCAAGGGAAGCGTCGTCCTCAAGAACACTGGCTCCCTTCCCCTTAACAACCCCAAGTTCCTCGCTGTCATTGGTGAGGACGCTGGCCCCAACCCTGCTGGACCCAATGGTTGCGGCGACCGTGGTTGCGATAATGGTACCCTGGCTATGGCTTGGGGCTCGGGAACTTCTCAATTCCCTTACTTGATCACCCCCGACCAAGGTCTCCAGAACCGAGCTGCCCAAGACGGAACTCGATACGAGAGCATCTTGACCAACAACGAATGGGCCTCAGTACAAGCTCTTGTCAGCCAACCCAACGTGACCGCCATCGTTTTCGCCAACGCCGACTCCGGTGAGGGCTACATTGAAGTCGACGGAAACTTCGGTGATCGCAAGAACCTCACCCTCTGGCAACAGGGAGATGAGCTCATCAAGAACGTCTCGTCCATCTGCCCCAACACCATTGTAGTTCTGCACACCGTCGGCCCCGTCCTGCTCGCCGACTACGAGAAGAACCCCAACATCACCGCCATCGTCTGGGCTGGTCTTCCCGGCCAAGAGTCTGGCAATGCCATCGCTGATCTCCTCTACGGCAAGGTAAGCCCTGGCCGATCTCCCTTCACTTGGGGCCGCACCCGTGAGAGTTACGGTACCGAGGTTCTTTATGAGGCGAACAACGGCCGTGGCGCTCCTCAAGATGACTTCTCCGAGGGTGTCTTCATTGACTACCGTCACTTCGACCGACGATCTCCCAGCACTGATGGAAAGAGCTCTCCCAACAACACAGCTGCGCCTCTCTACGAGTTTGGTCACGGTCTGTCTTGGACCACCTTTGAGTACTCTGACCTCAACATCCAGAAGAATGTCGAAAACGCCTACTCTCCTGCTACTGGCCAGACCATCCCTGCCCCAACCTTTGGCAACTTCAGCAAGAACCTCAACGACTACGTGTTCCCCAAGGGTGTCCGATACATCTACAAGTTCATCTACCCCTTCCTGAACACTTCCTCATCAGCTAGCGAGGCATCCAACGACGGCGGCCAGTTTGGTAAGACAGCCGAAGAATTCCTCCCTCCCAACGCCCTCAACGGCTCAGCTCAGCCTCGTCTTCCCTCTTCTGGTGCCCCAGGTGGTAACCCTCAGTTGTGGGACATCCTGTACACCGTCACAGCCACAATCACCAACACAGGCAACGCCACCTCCGATGAGATTCCCCAGCTGTATGTCAGCCTCGGTGGCGAGAACGAACCCGTCCGTGTCCTCCGCGGTTTCGACCGTATCGAGAACATTGCCCCCGGTCAAAGCGCCATCTTCAACGCTCAATTGACCCGTCGCGATCTTAGCAACTGGGACGTGAATTCCCAGAACTGGGTCATCACTGACCACCCCAAGACAGTCTGGGTTGGAAGCAGCTCTCGCAAGCTGCCTCTCAGCGCCAAGTTGGAGTAAGAAAGTCACACAAGGGTATTTTTTGGACTGCAATTTCTTGGGAGGACATAGTAGCCGCGCGCCAGTTACGTCAATGGCCGGTGAAGTTATTTTCGCTTAGCTTGATGAATAGAATCACGCACTTTTTGAACTGACTCTTCTTTTCGTGATGTCTGGGTTCGCCGGGCTACCTACAGCCTTTGGCATAGTACTTGATTGACCTCACAAACACTCTGCGTTAAACGTACATACTCAATTCCTAATCGAAAGCCAATTGCATTTAACAACGAGCAATAATTTTATGCGTATTGAACATAGATAAGCCTTTGCGAACCCCATTTGACTGAGATACAACGATACACCTAGCTCTGCGACGTGTTACTCTCCCTCGCGATGAGTTCCATACTTTTCTAGTGGCATAACATGCCCGCGTTTGTGATCGGTTCAGAGATGTATCTCTTATTCTTGACATCGTATCCTCTTTATTTGAGCCTTGAGCACTTCCGAGCCTGCTGTCGCTACTACGAAAAGGGCATTCTTGTTGGGAAACACAGAGGGCACATGCCAGTCACTCATGGGCTTAGCTCTGGAAATGAACTCTCCCCACATAGCAGTGATCAGGATGAATGGTTGTTTCTTCATAATTGCCAGAGGCGATTATGAACATCAAGAGTCGCCAGCATGGGATGATATGGGGGATCTTGAGAGTCTCGGATTATGGATGTGCAGCTTACTCCGGAGTCCGGGCGTTCTTTCTTCGGGAATCAAGGACCAACACGCTGATCTGATTAAGAATTAAGGACTTCTTCAGCATATCTAATCGAACCGTGTTTTCATTATACTTGACGGGGTCTTCGGTGCAGAACTGGGGTGTCGGAAGAATATACCGTGATTGCTTCGTAATCTAGAGTCAGAAACGCCTATCCGAGAGCTTAACATTAGCTTGTACTCGAAAATAATGTTTAAGAATGACTTGGGGTAGCAGAAGGGAAGCAGGTGGCTTTATAAAGGGAGATGGGAAGAATATGGCAGATCTGAAGATGCGTATGAGACTGGAAGATGCAATTGGGACTCGGCATTGTGAAAGTGATACCAAAAGTGTACCAAGCGTCAGCTCAGCCATTTCAGCTCTTCTGGTCATGTAAGCTAGCAATGTATGTGTGGGACAGCTAGGACCAAAACCATAGGAGCAGCGATGTGTTGTGTAAGGCAAGTGGAGTATCAGATCGAGGAGCCTGTATAGATTGTAGACACTGAAAACTGACCCAGATTCGGACTGCGGTATCGGGCCAACTGTAGATATCACAAGGACAAGGGTAGATCATAGATGAATAGCGAATCGAAAGCTAGACTTGGTCATTGGGAACTGAGATGAGCGTCATTCCTCCGACCCGGCAGTTTGCTTCAGAGGTTCAGAACGTCACACAAGCGGCTAGGCATGTACCGATCAACTTCGAAAGTTCAAATACGTTAACTACGCATTTGTCTTCACGTATGTGAATTGGATTTGAGCGAGACCTTCTGTAGTTCCTTTCGGCAATTCTCCTGAATACCACAAGGCCCGCATGATCCATCCAGCACATGCCCAAGAGATAGCTTGATGACAAGCAAGTGTAGCGTCGGCAGAGACCATAGATGCCTTAAATAATACCCTAAGCCAACGTCACTAGAGATCATGCGTCAGAAGATAACTCGCAACTTTAACCGAAAAGGGACAGGGGAACAAACCTTGCACTTTGACTTGGGAGGCACAGGCCTGACAGTCATGAAAAGAACATTGTTCCGAAGTTGATAGCCAACAGATATCTGGCCTGGGCTATCCAACTTTCTGTTGCATTCCTTGCATCTCGACTGAGTATCCTTGAACTGAGGTAGCCCCATGAACATCATCTTTTCAGCAACTCGCATCTGAGTTGAATACTTCTCCTGTGGTATATGGAATGAAGCGTACATCGGGGGCAATTGTATTGTGCTTTACAGTTAATCAGTATTGATAGGACAGTCTTGAAATTGACCTGTGTTTCATGCCCTGAGACATATCTAAAGATGCAAGCCCAGACAAGGGTGGTAACGAACCTGGAGTGTTTCGATGTATGGCGCATGAAATGATTGCGGAAACAGTTTTGGAAGTATATGCCTCGATCAGGGGCTCGTATGAGTTCTTTGGCGAGACGTCAGAGTTTTAGAAAGAGGACGTGCGATGTGTCCGGGAGTTGAGGGGGGTTGAGTTCATATCGGGCGAGCCATGGGGAACCTCTTGATGAAAAGGTCAGATGAGAAACCTGTACGCATACACAAGTAACCATTTTTATTCAGATCTAACGGCATGGTTCGATTTCCAGTGCTTGTGAACTTGCAGTCTTCTTGTCGTCGGAAGACAGTACCCTTAGGTCTTGGGGGTGGTTCGCCCTGGCAGCATTTTGATTTTTCATCACCAGACATGATACTACACTCTCTTCCTGCCTCCTGATGCTTGGGCTTGGCCACTTTTCAAAACTTCGAACCGCTCCAAAGAAGCCATAGTCAATGCCCCGTGGCAAAAGGTGTCTTTGTGCAACAAAGGAGACACAGAAGGGAAGAGAAACAGGCCGACTGCTGGTCTTACGGTTTCTCATAAGGAAGAAGTTCCTACCGAAGAAAGCACCTCAACGGCTTTGTGACACGTTACTGCTTCACTCCATCTATTTCGTCCGATCTAACCAGCAATCAAACCAACTGCCGATGATTTGAGAAAGAAACTTTTCATAGATTCGGTCCGATGAAGACACCCTGAGATGGTACCAGCGTATCTGGCCTGATTTGCACATTGCCAAGGCGATATGGTCACACAATCGGCTATGCAGAAGATTGCTTGGCTGGCAGTTCCTGGGATTTGACGAATATGCTTAGGTGAGCATTCCATAACCCCTGGCAGCTCAAAGTGGGATCTCAAACTGGCAGATCTTGCGAAGATGTGGAGGAAGGACAATGTGCAAGGGTCAAGGTCATATTTAAATGCTTCGACACCCGCTCTCAAGATATGTCGCTGAGATGGACGCAGCTTAGAGACAGATGACGGCGGACCCGATGTTGTCAATCACCAATGAGTCAATTTCGGGATGGTGTCGGTTCAGGTAAGCAGCCTTGTTATTATGTCCTATGCTGCGTTTGCGTATGACTGACGGATTGAAAGCAGTGCTTGCAAGTGAGGGCATTGACGATCGTTGGGTGGCTCAGGAAATCGGATTGCCTGCGATTGATGAGTGCCTGTCCTTTCATAGACGGTTAGGCGTCAAGCTTGTACCTCAATTGGGTCTGGGCGAACCATGGCTACCCATTTGGTCTGGTGTCCTTGGTTCAACTCAAGCCACTTCGCATGTTGAAGTGTCGTCTTACTCTCGCTATGGCCATACCATGATCGCTGCCTTGGTCGTGCCCTAAGAGTCGACGCTGTCATTGCGTTTTGTCACCAGACTTATCTCGAAGGATGGCCTATAGCTAGCGCGAGTCTGTTGTATTCAGACTGAAGCTGCTGTGGCTCCCGCCGAGTCCGTCAGCACAGGTATCTATGTTGGTCTACCCTCAGGTGAGTTCGTATTATCAGTCAGGATGGGTGTCAGCTAATCAAATGGAAGAGTAAACGAGACAGCACAAGACTGACGTGACAAAGTATAGAAAGTTCGTCATTTGGTGATCCAGGCGAAATTGTTATCTGGGTTGGTGTTTGTCTACAAAGCGCAAGCATCTCCCAAATGCGGTGGTACTAAGTAGCACAAGTTCATGGGCGGTAGTTCAACGGCTCTTTGCAGCCCTTGAGACGATCATATGATATCGGCCGTTGTTTTGTTGGGTCTAACGGGTGTTGTTAGTTGCGAGAGCAAGAATCACGAAAAGACGTTGCGATGTAGGGGGAAGGCGGGAAGATGCATGCGGGAGCAACAAAGTGGGACTGAAGTTCAGCAGGAGCCAAGCAACAAGACGAGAGCTTTTTGGTGGAAGTGGATAGCGCATTGTTACTGCCTGGAAAGCCCCTGAAAACGGTTGGTTCTCATGCCTTAGCAAATATCAAAAACATCCAACGTCATTCTTCATCTTCTCTCCCAACGACTACCCGTGACCACTTTCACTGCCTGAACTCGCACAACAACAATAACATCATGTTTCAGGTAAGGCTGTCTCTAGATTGTTAAGCGTGCGTGGCAAGCAACGGATGTCGAGGGCTGCATTAACAAACATTACAGCATCGACCGATTATCCTTCTGCGATGTCTACAGGTGCTTTTTGCCATCTGTCAATCATCGAGCTTAGCTTTCGATCATTCTGTCTCTCTCCATCCGTCAAGGCTCTATGTCACGAGAACAAGATGAGTCCCTGAGAGCCTCAAGCAACCGGCACAAGTATCAGTTACTTCGCGAATTCTCCGATATTGTGACATGTTTGTCAAATGAAGCACAGGAGCAACTGGCCCATAGTTACTGCGACATACCATGGATGCTGACAGAAATAGATCTCCATGGGAGGAAATCAATATGACACCTTGTGTCTAGCACCTAGGACGCCTTATGACAAATACTGCATTTCTCCTGTGTCCCAAGGGCGCCTTGGCCAGTTACATGGCTGCCTTGCCGGCATGGAATTTGCGCGGCGCAAACAACCTTCAGCTTTGCCACGAACGCCCAGTCATGTCTCTTCAAGATCAAACAAATACTCTTACGAACTATCTCTCAGCGGGTACAGAACTTGAGATAACAAAGTTATGCAACTCAGGTGATCAAGCCACGACATTATTCGCTACACGAGCACAATCACTGTCACAGCATGCACAACTATGAGGCTCAAGACATGAAATTTGAACCCCCATCCTTTCTGTTTGGTAGTTGTCTCGTATCCTCCAGTGTTGTTGGGAATGTAGAAAGGGCTGACTACCAAGAAGGAGGGTAGTGCCGACATCAGTACTTGCGTGCACCCAGACAAGTAGCGAAATATGGGAAGGTCGATGCTGTGAGTTGACTCCGAAGCCCCCCAAGTTTGCGATTGCCAAGAGCCTTACTGGCGATGATTGCTGAGCGAGCCTCCATCAACTTACCTAGGGAGCTTGGTTGACGAATCTCAACTAGCATCCTCCATGATTTCGCTCGTGGCTGATTTCGTTTAACGAAGTTAAGGTGCCGTCAAGCCTTTTACTGCGCCTCATCATTTATCACAGTGGGCAGAGGGAGCCAAGGTGTACGGGCAGGCAACAATTGTATCCTTGGCTCCCGGGGTATTACAATATCAAGCATACTATGGAAGCCCAGCCTGTGTGTAACTCCTTTCAACATAGCTACACGAAAGGAGCTGGATTAAGCCTCTAGCGAATATGCCTGATCTCGGCTAATTCGTGCCTTGGCCTCAGTCAGTGTCGAGGATTTGGGAGGGCGCTGAGCCCAGAGCTATATAGGATGGATAATGTCCCCCGAAATACAGCTGTCACAATGCAATTTGACGAGCTCGACTGAGTAAGTTCCCATATTGGTCAACCTGAACCTCTTTTGGATCATCGGTATACCTCGGTATACTTTTACTTTAGCAACGCGTCTAGTCCACTTCTGTCGGGGACTACCATTTCTACACAAGTCTGTACCAGATCCTTCACCATGGGCAGCGGCAAAGGCGGAAGCTCTTGGATCAGTAGGAGCAGTAGCAGCAAATCTCTACGAGAATGCCTTGAGCACAAGTGTCATAAGCCGGTAGGGAAGTTTGGTAGAAATAAGGAGTATTCAGTCCACTGCGAGAAGCGTGAGTACAACCCCAAAGTCCCTATGGAATCAGAGACTCATTTGACCAGATGCTTGTAATTTCGGAGCTAGGTGCAAGTTGAGCAAACATTCAAGAGATAAGTTCTGCACCTACCGTGAGTAGCCGGCCAATTCTTCTTTCCAATGTGGCTGACTCCTCTCAGACTCTGTGTGTGCTTGGCCTACATGCGATACAAAGGTCTTAGATGTCGAAGGAGTCAATTTTCTTTACTCTAATATTAGTCACCAGAAATGGTATTGCCGCGATCGTAAGTCATTTACCCCAGGTCGAGTTCCAAGCCTGTATGTTAATACCCCCAGACTCCTGCAAGGCAAAGGTCAAAGACAAGCAGTGCTACGAGCTACGCCATAAGAACTCCCAATACTGTGAAGAGCACTCCAAAGAGTTCAAGTGCAAGAACCCGAAATGCGATTCAGACCGAGATGGTTCCGAACGGTACTGCAAGAAACACCACTGTGAAGTGGACGACTGCCACCGTAAAACACTCAAATTAGAGGATCATGAAATGGCGGGTCGAGATAAGAAAAAGTGCTATCGGCATCAACACTGTGAAGCCTCGAGAGACTGCAAGAATTACTCTGTTTGGGATCCCGACAAAACTCCAACGAGGCTCTGTGCGAACCACTACAAATGCCAGTTCTTACACGACTGCAACGGCTTTGCCCAAGGAGATTCAAGATTCTGTACTGAGCATGAGTGCGATCAACAGGGCTGCCTGCAGCCTCGGGATGCTCATAACGGCCTGATTATGAGATGGTGCCATATGCGTAGGTGTTTGCTTCTCAGGTCTTTACAAAGCTAACAGACCAATGTAGACTTATGCTCCGCGCCTGGATGCCCCGACTTTGCGAACGGACATGGTCACGCCCACCCCCAGAAATGCTTCCGACATACTTGTCAAAGAGCAGACTGTTCAGAAATCGTCCAGGACAGCAATCCCAACTCTCATTTTTGCCAAACTCATGCCTGCGCTGACCCTTCATGCTCTTATGAGTCAACAATCCCTGATGGCTATTGCTACGCCCATGGATGCAACACACCTGGCTGCCGTACGCCCCGAGACCGTGGCTCTCTATTCTTCCCCTCTCTTTGCAGACTCCATGGGGAAGAGAGACAGGAAGATGAGTACTATTATCATACCGCTGCTCCTTCTCGAGCAACATCTCGCTCGGGTAGCAGGACTAGTAGCCATGACTCCCGGCGCATTCCGAGGACATTTCGCCACCAGCAATACCATTACCCAACATATCAGAATCCGTTTCAGGCCTCAGAAGCTGATCGTCGATATGAAACGTATGACAACGCAGATTATCATTACCTGAGGATTCCAAGACCGCTGTATTACGATTGATCGATTTAGGGTCTTAGACACGATAGGGAGTGGGAAAAAAAGAGTTTGGCACTAGATCTGACAAGGCGTATACGTCACTGGTCATCAACAGCACATGGTATTGCGGCTACTGTGATAAGGTTGAGGGAGGGTTGTAATTTGCACACGCCTAGATAGATAGATACAGCTGGACCTTTTGGGTTCGAGACCTAACCATCTGGTTGACAAGGCTCGATGTGGGGAGGCGGGGAAGCCGTGTGGTACAGCATATACTCGAGAAGACCCCAGTAGATGTCATTTATTCTTGGATTTAAGCTAAGTTATTTATGTCTTCATAAGCTATTGATCCCTGCTGAAGTGTGATGAAGCTTGCCGAGTGTAACGCGGGACGGTTTGGGATGAGTCCTGAATAGGTAGGTAAAGGAACAGCGAGAAGAGAAGAAGGGAGAGACATTCGTTGAGTCTTGCCCATGATCTCACTTCAATCCAGGTATTTCTGGATCATCTCTTTTGGAGATAACTGTTGTTTCTTCATGGATGCCCTTCTTCTCCATGTTTGCGTCGTTCGAGCATTGACGTTCTTGTGTTCGGTGCGATGAGCTGAGTAAGCTGCCTTTCATCCCTGACGTCTGGGTATCACGTTGACCATTCAGTCACTCGACCCGAGCCTCAATTCAGTCCGCTGGCTTGGCAACATCTCAAGAATTTCTCTTATTGCGGCTCTCCGTAGTACGCCAGATGACATCCATTTCCTCTGTATTCTCCTCCGAAATCTTCTTGGAGGGCTTGGCTTGCTTGTAGAAAACCGTATCAGGCTTCTTGAATACACGTGGCTGGATCTTGGGCCCGCAGATACAGTTGATTATCTTCCCGTTGCTATCGTAGATCAGTTTGGAGTAGCTGGGGTATTTAGTCCGAATGTTCAAGAGACGGGATATCTGGGTCTGGAGTCTGTGGTGGATGGCCATTTTGTCTGTGGCAGTGTGGGATCGAGATGACTGATTTGATAGTGCTTATGAAGGTAATATGACCAAGATACAAGACCTGTGATTTACGAGCGTGGGAGATGGAGGTATTTATACCTATTTGTGAGTTTACAAGTCTTCTATATGAAAGTTTGGTGATTTGACTTTGTCGTGAATTATGATACAGGAATAATGTATAGTAGGAAAATCCCCGCGAAGGTTTACAACGGAAGATGAAGTCACTGCACCAATAACAGTGTTAAATTGAGTAGAGAAAGTTTCGTCTTAATATAATATGCAAGCTGTAATTGGATAGTAGCAGGAAATAGTTTTGTTTCCATGGCATTCACTTGGCCACCTAGAGTTCACAAAGGAACTTCAAGTTTGACATAAAATATCCCATACCAGTAAAACAAGTGTCAAATTCTCTTACTTTTCAGTTTGCCCTTCGGGTTCCCACCTACGTCAAATTGCCCTTTGTATACGCGGCAAAAGAAACGACGAAGGGACAAACACCCAAAGCTTAGCTACTGCTTGGTAAATCACCTCCTCTGCTGCTGCTGAAAGTTCAACTTTTGGGAGAATTCCAAGTTACTTCACAGCAGTATCTCCCCATCTTGTACTTAAAGGTGACCCAAAGAAACCAACTGTTGCAGAGTAGCAAAGCAGTCACAGGAATCGAAGTGCGGATTCGAGGTCATGAAATTATCATAGCTGCTTTTAGGACTAATCTTCATATATTTCGGCAGAAGTTTCATTTGATTCAGTCCTAGCTAGAAGGTTCTATACGAAGTGGCGAGGCATACGTAGCTAGAGTCTTGTTGGACCATGACGCGGCTGCAGTACCTCCCCTTGACAGTTTAAGATTAAGTTAGGTGAGGGCCTCAAATTATGTTTTGGGATGTACTTTGCAAACAATACTGATATAATAAACTTCTCCGGAAACATGCAATGGGAGCTTCTGATTTGCTGATACGCTCTGATGTACCTAATTCAATATCCAACATGGTGTTTTTGTGAAGTGCTTACTTCCTGGCTCAGTTTATGACTTGGTCCCCAAGGGGCTCGCACTGCCATCCGCAGCGACGTCTTTGACCAAGATCACAAGAGATCTATAGCAATGAAACAGCTCAAAATACTAGTAGAGCCTCAGTTTATCTCTGAATAAAGCGTTCGTGTCCCCGTAGAAGAGCCGTAGAAGGCGAGGTCATGTTGACTGCATTCCTACATACCCTAGACTCTAGACACTGAAAACAGTAGCGGGGACATTGGTTTCAGGGCATTTTCCTCCTTCGACCGCCACCACCGTCAGGTATGAACAACTTCAGACGAACATCTGACTATGCCAATGCAGAATAGAGTTCAATCAATCTTCGATCGAACCATCCCCTCAAAAGCACGATCCATCCAAGACCGATAAATTCACATGCATCTCCCGAATGCCCGGGACTCTACCTAGAGTGGAGCAGCCCGGCTCCCCCCCGATCCGAGAAGTTGGACGAACAAGCCCGTTTCAGCTCCGCCAAGAACGATCAAGCCAAGCAATATTAATCAATGCTATACATATAAAATAGCGATAAGTCGTCTAAATACGGGGTATTATCGAACTCTTTCACAAGGCTAGTGGAGCGGTATGGCTGTTTTGCTTGCAGGTTTTACCAATGTCACATCCCGGTATCGTCCCAGATCTGAGACAGATCTGAAAACAGGCTGGAGTTGACCGACCAAACATTTGATCAAGACCGGCCAGAGAAATGGTCTCGAAGAGTAGAGAATGACCAAGTGAGAGGAGGGAGATAGTTAGAGTTTATAAATGTCTGTGACAATGTGAATGGCCTCATCATCGTCAGCTCACAACTAGACTAAAGCTGATCACACTGTCCGCGCGCTTAAGGAATATCCTCAATTGGTCCCCGAGTTGCAGAGTCGCAGATGTTTCAACCAACGAGACGCATCCGCGACCGGGTCGTCTTGGCCCCGGCCTCAGTGAATCGGCGCCCTGAGACTCCTATTGGCTGCAGCTGTGATGGGTGGTATAACCCCTGTAGGGTCTCATGCGACATGTTCCTCTCTTTTGTCAAAGCCATTCGCTCTTCTTCAAAGAACGAGCGGCTCGTCTTTGCTGAAAAAAACTTTCTTCATTCTTTTCTCTTCCTCGCTGGCGAGTGACTTAATAACCCCTACCAAATATTTTTAATTCCAAGGATTTTTGCTGCAACCCTCCTTTGCGACTCAACCTCCACCACTCATACCTAAACACCACACATCGCATACTTGCATACACCACTTACATCCCCCACAATGGGTAACAATCTCTCCTCAACCTTTGTCCCCGACACTTCGAAAGTCGTCCTCAGTCCTGAAGACCGACACTCGGACATGTTACTCGGTATTTTCTGGGCATCGTCACTCTACGCCTGCGCCATGATCTTCAGCACCTGCGCTCTGATCGACCGATGGAAGGGTCCCTACGATCGCGTTAGAATGTCTCTTGGTTCAGTCATGGGCGCTTTACTATTATCGACGGCCTGGCCTGTTGTCATGGCGTACTTGATCTTTTCGCCGGCTGAGGTCTAATGAGCGGAGGAACTATTGGGTCACGGCCTTGGAAATGAGTACTTGGAAAGGATTTGGTTGGGTTGGGTTGGATTGGGCGATTGGCGTCTTGAGAATTGTGGTGGAAATGGCATTATGGTCAGACCTGGAGTTTGAATGCATACCACGGCGATATACCATCTAATACAATTTTTTTTCTCTATGTTTATCATATTTGACCGACTCATCTTTCTTTAAGGCCGATGACCCCGTCCATGTGAACCGAGTCCCTCATGACCCTATTCAAGTCTCATTAAAGCACCCTCAGCTGGCCATTAACATTAACCCACCAGTGTATTTCGTCGACTTCTATCAGACCGCGTATCCTTTCTTCCAATGATAGTCTCAAGCGCTTGAGTCAAAGCCTTGGCATCATATCGTCCACCTCTGCCCTTCTCATCCTTGGGCCCATACAGCCTCGTCGCATCTATACCCAATTGTGTGAACACTGGCTTGTCCACCTTTGGCGACATCGGTCCTTCGATGTAAATGACATGCGACACATACTGACTGTATTCCTCTTCGGTAGGTTTAGGTAGACCTCTTGAGTCAGCAAGTGCATTTGCGATAGCTCCAACAAAGTCCAATCCTGTGAAAGGCGCTGTCGAAGGACCAGTCTCGCGATCGGTTGTACCGTTGAGAATGAGGATTTTGTTGCGCACTTGCGGGCTAACTATAGCATCGCCGACACCACGAAGGACAAGACTTGGGATTAATGATGTGAACAGGGAGCCAATGCTGTACACTACGCTGTGCACAGATCGGAGGGCGTCTAGAACTCTTGGATTGGCGGGCATCTTGATCTCCTCGCCATATGGGTTGATGTACCACACTCGCGCAATCCTTGCGGGTAGATCTTCTTCTTGCTCTTTGGAGAACGCAATGGCGGGTCGGCGCAATGCAGGTAACGTCCCTGGTAGATTCGCGTCTTCTACATGGTGGTGGTCTTGATCCCATGTTTGCTCTTGTCGCGATACTGTTGGGCTGTGCACACCGGCTGATGCTCCAGGCACAGCGGCTGTTGGAGCGCTGGGATGCGAGATGTCGTTCTGACCTGTGATTATCGTGTCATCTTCAAGACCAGCAGCGATATGGCTAGCAAAGTTGGTGTTTAGCGCAGGAAGGACTGCTATTCTATCCGGCACTGAACATATTGAGCTCAGCAAGTAGATGGCGGCCTCGAAACTACCGGTGAAGAGACGTGCGCCTGTGAGGAAGAGGTTTCCAATGCTGGCTCCAGAGTAGTCAAAGCGACTGCTAGGTTTCATGCGCTTCACAACCTCAAGATTGAAGCTATTCAGATAAGATCTGATGAGTTCTCTCTTGGGCGATGAGATGTCATTCCAGAGAGGATGCGTCGCTTCCAGAATCTCAAACCATTCTGATCTGGCCTCGGTGTATACTTTAGGCAAGCGATGATTGAAGAAGTGCTTGATAGCTCTCGTCTCAGAACTTCCATCGTTCGGAATAAGACGAACAAGTCGGGACCTCACATCTCCGATACCTAGAGAACCCTGCCAGTCAATACTAGGCGTAGCATATAGAAGAGCCACGTGGAAATGGGAACATACCAGGTCCACCAAAGACACGAATGATCTCACTACTGCTACCGCCATTATCAGAAATGGGTATCACGTAGCTCAGCGTGCACTGATTCGCTTCTCGAACGCTCTCGAAGACATCGACGAGGTTGTTAGCGGCGCTACCACCCGAGAAGACGATTATGCCCGTCGGAGGTGCCGCTGGTGTGAGGGGCCGGCGAGGGGTCGCTGGTGCTGAGGATCCACTGGAGCTTGGGAGCTGTAGACCGAGGCCATTAAGGTTGATCTGTGCCTGTGCCTGTGCCATTGATTGGTGGTCGGGAGAATTATGTGATTTCTTTCGGGCGCAGAATGGGGACGGATTCAGAATCTGGAGATGGTGTTGATGATGACAGATGACGGCGGTTAGCGGGGCATTCTTGATTGTATACAGTAAAGCCCCGGTAACGTTATTGCTTCATGACCCAATTATTTCCAATTGCGACGGGTTAGCTGATGATGCGTTTCAATTGATGAAGTTCTTACTTCAATCTTACAGTGAGTGACAGTACCTTAGTGTTGTTGTTTCTTTGATCTGATTCGAGGCTGTTACTAGGTACCATGTTCGAAACTCACTCGTATGCTCAATTGCTGCATGAACCACTCACGAGTCATGGACCAACTCGCTACACCCTCCAATGACTTTTCCCAACATCAACACCATCTCACCCACCGAAAGAGGTAACGCCCCGAGCAACCGGCGGCTCTCGACTCTCGAACCGGCAACGAAAAGCTTTGACACTTCGGATCCGTGTGGGTACCATAACTTACAGCGGACGGACAGTGGACCGCAGAAGAAAAAAAACATGATGGCTTCATTATCTACAGAAACAAGTGGAACTCGGAACTCTTAGTCCCAAGCCCGTCATTGGTTCCCATGGCCCGGCAGTTGAAGCTTTGCCACAACTGGAGAAGAGCTATCCCGGCAAAACGACAAGAGTTACGTCAGTGATGGATGGATGATGGATTGCAAGAGCTGGAGGTTGCGTTACAAATCTGATGCACAGACGTTGGTTCCTTACAAATCTGCATGTTTCGAGAATTACCTTGACGGTTTCTTTATAAAGATTTTTCCTATTATCTGATCGATTAGCAAGTATATATAGACTGGATCAAGCGTCGTTGATAATCGGTATCATCATCAAGCATACAATATCGGACCTTACACAGCATATCAACAGCCTCAACTTCATACTTCACAATGGCTCAATCTATTCCCAAGACTGTCAAGCAATGGACCATCCCCTCCCGTGATGGAAAGGACTTCAGCGGTCTGAAGTTCAGCGAGGAGTCTGTTCCCGAGCTCGGCGACGGCCAAGTCCTCGTCAAGAGTAAGTTCCAACTTCACTTCACACCCACAACAATCTTCTAACACTTCACAGTCCAGGGTGCTTCCCTCAACTACCGCGATCTTATCCTCCCTCTCGGAAAGTACCCCTTCCCGGCCAAGGACGGCGTCGTCCCCGGCTCCGATGGCGCCGGCACTGTCCTCGCCGTCGGCAAGAACGTCACCCGCTTCCGTCCCGGCGACAAGGTCGTCACTCTCTTCAACCAGGGCCACATCGGCGGATCTCTCGACCAGCTCAGCATCCAGACCGGTCTCGGTGGTGTAACCGACGGAACTTTCCGCACCGTCGGTGCCTTCGATGAGCACGGTCTTGTCCCCATGCCCTCCAACCTCGACTTCCACGAGGCTGCTACCCTCACCTGCGCTGGTCTCACTGCCTGGAACGGTCTTTACGGTCTTGAGGGCAAGAAGCTCCTCCCCGGCCAGTGGGTTCTCACTCAGGGTACCGGTGGTGTTAGCATCTTTGCTGTTCAGTTCGCCAAGGCTGCTGGAGCCAAGGTCATCGCTACTACCAGCTCTGCTGAGAAGGCTAAGCTTCTTGAGAAGCTTGGTGCTGACCACATCATCAACTACCGCGAGACTCCTGAGTGGGGAGCCAAGGCCAAGGAGCTTACCGGCGGCGCTGGTGTCGACCACATTATCGAGGTTGCCGGCCCGGCATCCATGAAGCAGTCCCTCAACGCCGTCAAGATTGACGGTGTCATCTCCATTATCGGCTTCGTTGGCGGCACTGGTAAGAACGACCCTGGTTTCCTCGACTGCCTTTCCAACCTCTGCACTACCCGAGGTCTCCTTGTTGGAAGTCGTACTCAGATGGAGGACATGTGCCGTGCTATTGAGGCCAACCCTGATAAGCTCCGACCTGTCGTTGACCCCAAGATTTTCTCTCTGGAGCAGCTCCGTGAGGCTTATGAGTACCAGTGGTCTGGCAAGCACCAGGGCAAGGTCTGCGTCAAGATTGAGTAAACGATGATTTATGAGAATATATAGCCGGGCGACATGCGTCTTTGGCTTTAACGTACAGTACATAGAATTAATTGATACCACATTTTTCGCATGACCAAGTTTCGTACACCTCGGCAAGATCTTGTGGCTGCACTGAAAGGTCATTGCTCCTCTCATTTGAACAGTAAAGTCCAGCAATTACATCAATATCTCTCAATTGATTGCAAGTAATTACATTCCATCAGACACGAGCGTGTCACAGCCCATCTACTAAAATTGTGTGCTCAGTCCTTCAGCCACATCCCTTCATCCCAGGCCACCGTTCTAATTAAGCAAGCAGCCTGTTCCATTCATTCTGCGACAAAGAAAACCTCGCTGGATCAAAAGATGAGCGCAGCGATACCAGCCAAAACACCAACCAAACTGAACTTCTTCGACGATCCTTCATTAACGATAACCGTGCTGGGCGTGGGGTAGGGTGTTCCGGGCACAGGAACCGGCGCAACAGGGCTCGGGACAACAGGGGGAACAGAGGCGGTATCAACAGGAGGAGGAACGATAACAGCAGTCGAAGAACCCTCCAATATAGGAGACTGAGTCTCCGCGCCTCCTCCACCCTGAACAATAGTAGTCGTATCAGCACGAGTAGTACCACCGCCCTCGCCATTGCAGACACTGCCGTTAGGACAGCATCCGTACTGCTGGTTCGTTCCGACTTCGCAGTAAGCTGTAGGAGGACATCCACCTGCGCGGCTGGGACAGCATGTCCAGTCCATTTGGATACAGCCGGTGCCGCAGTCCTTGAGGTTCTGGTCGGCGCAGGGAACCTCTACGACTTGACGGACTGCGAGGAGGGGAAAGCTGGGGGAGTATTGGACGGCGAGAACGCCGGTGGCTGAGAGGGCGACGAGCAAGAACTTCTTCATCTTGAAGTTGAGCTTGGAGTTGTGTGCGTTGGAGCGAGTGGTTGGTGGTTGTTGCAACGAGTGACGATGTTGGTGAAACTGTATCTGTTTGAGAGTGCGATGAGAGGTGAAGAGAAATGCGAGACATACCAAGCCCTCGGGGGTTTATATGCATAGCATTCTCAAGCTCCCAACTGAAAACTTTGCCATCCGATCTTCTCTCTTCATTGTAGTTCCTCTCTCATGCCGCGTGCGGCGGCTTCGCTCAAAAACGCCAAAGACATTCCAGCCACGATGCATCTACTCCACCACCTGCAACCATCTACTCCCCCAACATCATTTCCAATTCCGACAAAGCGTCAAGCCTCTTTTTCTCTCAGTGTCGGCTATTTTGAACATCCAGATCTCATGTTGCTGTAGCGATGAAGGGCCTCTTCTCGATGCGCCCGGTGTTCTGCAACTCTGAAGAGAGCCGCGTCCGGTTTTTGCGGCGCATGGCTTGATATTCAGGGCATATTACCAGAATCTGTTATTTTGTGACGGTCGGCGGTTGGGTGGCTGCTTGCGGCGTAACAGATCTTGGTTCCTGGTGTTTGAGCTTGGCGCTTAGAGCATTTGAGTTGAGTCAATACGAGAATTGAGGATGAGATTATTGTGCCAGGTCTAGTGAGGGGGAGTAGTTGATGCCATTGGAGATCGGCCAGGAACAAACGCGTGTTGAATCTAGTCTCGGCAAGGGACGAAACAAGGTATCTAGATCTAAGACAAAATATTGGCCCGACGATCTAGAGGCACGGGCCCGAAAGGGAGTTCCCTCCGCTAGTGGTTCACACTATCTCATCTTGCAGGTGATTACCATATGTTTTATGATTTGCAAGAGCTTCTGATATAAACACTTTTGCATAGTTAAAAGTTTTTGCCGTTTTATCGAAATGATACTATGAAGAAGGCTATATCAAATCTATGTTTGAAGTGAACAGAACATCAACAAACGAGAAGCAAAGCGTTATCAACCCTATTTCTTCTCGTTACCCCAAGCATCTTCCAGAAATTCCCGAACAGTAATGGGCTTGATATCAGGGAAGGCCTTGTTCAGAGCCTTGCTCTCATCCAAGTTGAAGCCACCAGTCTCTGCCCACAAACCATAGGCAGACATCACCTTTTTCATGACAGCCTTGGGAGCAGGAATGTTGGCAAACATCGCCTCATGGCCTGGCAGCTCACTCAACTCTCCCTTCTCCAGCGTCTCAACACTATCATAAACAACGTTGAACTTGTCACCTATTGAAAATTAGCATTCCTAGCTTTAGCCACAAAGCTCGTCGCGTACCTGTAGCTTCTTCTGCAATCTTTACCAACTCATTGAACGTGACTTTGTCACCAATGATATACGTTGCTTCGTCCCATTTATCAAGGTCGAGAAGTGCAGCAACAAACTTGGCTACATCTCGACTATACGTAAACGTAACGGGAACGTCTCCAGATCCTGGGATGGCAGCAGCTCGATGTTTGATATCGACAAAGGTTGAAGGAGTGTGCAAGTTCGATTTCGCTGCTGATTTAGGGGAGCCCCAGAAATCGAGAAAGAAGCCGATATGGATGGAGGTCCATTCGAGATTTGTCTTGCGTAGCTCATCTTGAGCACGGAGTTTGTTGCTTGCTGAATTAGCTTGAGCTGCATGCCTATAACTCTTTGTTAGTGGTTCTTTTTTCAATACGGACAATGAGGCATTTGTCAAGCGTTTGCTTACTCTTCTGTATGGGGAAGACCCCAATCACTTGAGATGAATCGTTTTGTTGCCTGGGATGCTTCTGACGCACGGATAATATCAATTTCGATAGGCTCAGGTCCGTTCATGCCAAGTGTCGAAATGACTGTGTGTATATTGTGCTTTTCAAAGAGCTGAGTCAGGGCATCGATATTGTGAATATCCACGGCCAAGACAGGAGCTCCAATCTCTTCTTCTAGTGCCTTGTTTTCCTTCGGTTTCTGTTAGTTACGTTCATAAACCTTTCTTGTGAAAAGCTTACCTCTCGACTGAGGATAACAACTTTATGTTCTCCTGCAGCAACAATAGCCTCCACGAGAGTTCGGCCGACCTTGCCTGTACCGCCTGCAACTGCAACAGTAACCATTATGTCTGGTGATATATTTATAGAGGATAATGTGTGGTGTTTGATGAATGATGCGTTCGAGGCCTACTCCGTCATAGCTCAACTCGTATCTTTATATACCGCAACTCCATCTTCATCTCCAACTCATTTCTAATCACCGCACTTACTCGGACATCTGATACTGCGAATTTTCCGTCAATTGTCAGCAATCGCTTATTTTTCGTATGTTTTCCAACACCCATTGGTCACCCTGTCTCTGATAAGTCTGACATGCATATCATCTTGCATATCAAAATGGGGCGTGTTCGATCGGTGTCAGCATAGTGATTGGACCACTGCCAAACATAAGCACAGCACGCGCCTAAGACCCTCTAAAGCCGAGCTACTCCGTCCTAAGTCCTTGCTTAAACGCATTGGGTAATTGTGTTGGCCGCCAATGCTTGGTCAAATTCCAGTGGATGTCTGAGATCGAGACTTGTGCTCGGATAGAGTTTCAGGGCCGGGAAGTCCAGATCTGGTCGATCTGCACGCTAAGAAAGTTATTTTGATGAGGGCCAGGAACGAGATATGCCGTTGTTGCTCAACCCCTGGGCGCTTTCCGCCACTTGAACCTGAGCCTGGAGTATGATGACTGGGAATACTTTGCGGTTTGGCATCTCACACCACTGAATCTCAAGGACGGTTGACACAGACTTCTTTTTGTTAATCTATGTATGAGAATCAGCGCAATCTGTTGTTATAGGGTAAAGTTTCTGACTGGAATGTCTCGTTTCAGGGACATTTACTGACCACCACCAGATCGCAGTAGCTGCCTTCGTCATCAAGTAAGCAAAGTTGTCTCGGGACATCGAGTAGTGTGACATCTTTCAAGGGCTCAAAGGCCCACTAGGGGAGGAAAGAAAACTCAGGACCGTAACCCTAAACGATAAAAATACTTAGGTAAATCTAGCCCAAACTTAGGGGACTCTTTGCTAAGTTTATTTTGACACCCCATAATAAGGTGCCGTCTAAGTGCCTTGGCCTCTATTCTCTCTCATCAATTGCTGTTTTGACTTAGAAATGGGAGTCTCGGGGCGCCGGATTTTCTCGAAGCCATGGTCGTCCAAAGTCAGAAAACACTAAAGGCTGAGCGTCCTTTTAATCGGCCTTGCTTTTTGTCAAACCCCCTTATATACCTTTCCCTTGGTAAGGTATAGAACTCATCTGACAGGCAAAATGGTAGACCAATCAGTTGCCCCGGAGGCCAATGACATCGGAGTCAACTGAAGCGTTCACTCAAGACCGAAGACGATCAACTACCCGATAATAGCGAAACTTAACCAACATTCTTAAAGTACGTCACAAATGTATTAACACTTCTCAGCTCAGAGAGCTATCGATATCTGCCAGTGCAGTTTGTCGGGCGGTGTGTTTAGTCTATTACCATCCCATGACCACAATATGCTAGCATATCTGTGCTCACAATGTCAGCTTCAACAGCTCTTACCAATGAATGGCGTCTAATTAGAACAAAAAGTCCGAATAATCTCTAAGTACTCAGATTGATCCACTAATTCCACTGTCATCATGTCGCACAAATATGCACGTTTCTTTGCATTGGGTTTGACGATGTGTCAATGATCCGGAGATACCTCCGGTCTTGGAGTGCAGACTCTCAGAGACTCAGAGGCTTTCAATTGAGTGCTCTTTCTATGAGATATAAGTCGTGCTACCTTTTCCACCAAGTTATCCATTCTTCCGGTCTCATCCACAAGCTTTAATATGAATGTAGCAAAATACTTCAGTATCTACAATGTCTCTCAACTCCAACCAACTCGACCCTCGCCAGCACTCCAGGCCCTCGGCAATGCTATGGCGCTGAGATTCACATCCCCGAGACTAATCACGCAGGCCTCATGTTCTTCAACGATCACGGAACTCCCCAAGGATGGCACTTCAACCACGGCTACGGATGCCAAACCAAGTGGGTAAACTCCAACGAAGAGCTTGTCAAAGCACGATCAGAAGCAGTTTACTGGCTGTGACTCCATATAAATGTGCCGCGAGGCTCCTGATTACTCGAACAGAGATCTTTGGGGGGCCGTTGAGAAGGGTGAGGAGATTGAGAGGACAGCTCATGTACTGGTCATGAATCCTAAACAGGCGGATCCCGACAAGCTTGGGTTTGATCCTTTTGATGTCACAAAGGTTTGGCCGCGATCGCAGTTCCCGATGAAGGATTTTGGAAGATTGGTTCTTAACAAGAACCCGGGAACTACCATCGAAATGTGGAACAGGCTGCGTTTTCGCCTAGCAGTATGGTTCCTGGTATTGAGGACTCTCCTGACCCTCTTCTTCAGTTCCGCGTGTTCTTCTACCGCGACGCTCAGTACCGTAGCATCGGTGTCAATCTGCACCCAACAGCTTCGCTCACAAGTTCAGACCTCGTGTCGCTGAGGCGCCGTATCAGGTCAGCGACAACATCGCTAGCAGGGTTAGTCACTGTTGACTTGAGGGTAAGAAGAATTGCTACGATCAAGCGAAGGATCTGTGGACGAGGATTATGGGTGAGCAGGAGAAGAAAAATGCTCGCTACAATACAGCCAAGGGTCTTCGCCGCGTCAAGTTCCCGAGATCAAGGTAAGCAATCAAGCTATTGCTGACAGAAGTATAGAGCAAGTGTTTGGCGCAGGTGTAAAACATCTCGGAGGATTATGCGCAAGGCATTTATGATCTTCTGGGTCAACATCAGGTCGAGTTCCCCAAAGTCAAGGGAATGAGATATAATACTGTACTCATCTGCCGGTTTCCGTCCGTGACTTTCTAGCCTGAATCCTGCATGTAATCCTGGAGAATTTTCAGTTTGCAATTCCGATTTATCCGCTCCGAATATCGTGAGATAATCGTGGGATTGAGTCGTGAGGGGAGTCTATGATGCTGACAATATGCAGAATCCTGGACCAAAGATGGAGATAAGCGGTGATAAAGAAGCTGACTGAGTGCCACGACCTGTGATAAACCCGACTCAAAAGCGAAAACGCGCGAAGGATTCAAGTACATCAGCATTTAAGACAAAATTGACCAGCTCACTCAATCATGTCCATGTATATGTTGATACACAGCCCCGATTCACCGTCGTCAATTTACAAACATTCGCAACCATGGCCCCAACAGACGCAGAGATTAAGGCCACTATCAAGGCCGTGGTCAACGACTTCAGAGGATGGGACCTTGCGCCGATAATGCACTATCCAAATGAAGAAGGCCTCGAATTCGAAGACATCTACTTCCCATCCGATGACGGTGTCCCTCTGGAAGGCTGGTTCATCCCCTGCAAGGGCTCCAACAAGATCATCATCGCCAACCATCCTCACTGGTTCAACCGCGCCGGTATTCCTTCGCATCTCGAACCTTGGAATCAACTCATGCCCGGGAACGACTTTGAAGTTAATTTCATTCCCGATTACAAGATTCTTCATGATGCGGGGTATAATGTTCTTGCGTATGATTTGAGGAACCATGGACTTAGTGGAAGTGGAAACCAAGGTCTCTTTGGCTTCTTTGAATGGCGCGATGTTCTTGGATCGTTGAAATATGTTCGTGGGCGGGACGATACCAAGGACATGACCATCGGACTGTTTAGTCGCTGCGCTGGTGCAAACGCGACACTCTCGGCGATGAGGCATCGCCCTGAAGCCTTCAAAGGCGTAAGATGCATGATTGCGCCCCAGCCTATATCAGCAGGGTCCTCCATTGCTGTGATGCTTGACAAAATGGGCGCTCCGGCATCTTACATGGAAGAAGCTGATCGACAATTCTTCATGAAGACGAGTTTTCATATAAGTCAATTGTCGCCGCCGACTGATGCGAAGCACGCCAATGTGCCAACGTTTCTGTACCAGGTTCGCGATGATCCTTGCACGACGCCGAAGGATGTTCAGTCTGTTTATGATAATATCCCTATTCAGGATAAGAAGTTGAAGTGGATTGAGGGGACGGATAAGAGGTGGGATGGATATACGTACTTTCAGAGGGAGCCTGATCAGTTCTTGGAGTGGTTTGCAAAATATATGAACTAGGCATAGCATTGGACAATTCTAGCTTTCTATCGTGCTTATATTATTTTGTTATAATGGCTCTATCAAACGAAAGAAAGGGGTATCGTATATAGTTATCCTGATCCACTGATATGGTAGCAGTCGTCTGTTAGCATTGAAACCTTACCATCTCATGGCATCCAGGTTCGAAAAGCCAAGTCAATTACTGTATTACTCAGACACACCTCATACTGTGAAGTGCTCTCTCTGTAGTTGCCGCGTTGACCCCGTATCGCTAGCCACATCATCGTACTCAGACCTCCTCGCCTGCTTAACAACAACTTCCGTTCGTGTGGTCTTCTGGATCCCTCCCTCCAATCGATCTACCAGCTCTATATCGTCTGTATTCGCTTCGATAAAGGTGGTGTTACCACCAACAAACATTGCTGAAGGTATTTTGCTTTTGCCGGTCTGTTTTGAGCTCTTCTTTTGGGTGCTGTGGGATCTGGAGCCGGAGTAGTCGGGATAGTCGCTGTTGTTGCTGGCCTTGACGACCTTGATGATGAGGTCTGCCATGTTCATTTCGATGTGGAGTTTGACGAGATAGGCGAGAGGGTGGAACTGGACGTAGCTGTGATAATGGGTCAGTAATGGCGAGGGGTTGAGCTAGCATGACTTACACAATGTCGTTCGGTAGGGACATCATTGCGATGAGAAGGATCTGAGCATAGTCAGTATCTAAAGCAGCAGATCAGGGGGGTGGTAATAAAACATGCGTCCATAGTCATCGACACAGCAATCATGCCCAAGTTGAACCGAAACAGCCGGGTGTACTTGGTCAGGCCGTTCGCAATCAGCCTTGATCGCACGAGGTGTATAAAGTACAGGTTGAGACCTGCATCAACCACTAAAAAGATAACCTTCTCAATTCTATCCCAGACTTTGTTGATGTCGATCCAGGTCTTGTTAACCTGCAGCCGAGCCGGGATCCAGATTGTGAAAACACTGATGTTGATGCATAATATGATGATGAAGGAGTATATCTTGAGTCGCTTAGCATTTTGTCGGTTTACCATGAGGATCGCGATCCGGTTGATGATGATTTGAATGAGTGCTTGAAGTTGGATACACCAAAGGAAAACTGCACTGTTAGCCTCTTCTTCGAGAACACTAGGGACGCCAGCATGATAGCAGCGGTGACTCACTTAGAGTAAAGAAAACCGGAAACCCGCCGGGGATGTAATTTCGTAGATAACACCAAGTGACGGCGCTCATGATACAGCTGCTCGTCCACTCCAGCCATAGCAGTATGATATAGTGGTTCATCCTGCGTCCTCTCCTCCATGACTTGATGGTTTGTTGTATCCCTTTGGTGAACGTGAACAGCCCGACTCCCAGCGAGATTCCCCAAGCAATACTCGCAATATTCATGTCATTCTCGCCGGCGTCGACTTCGATAAAGTTCGGTCCTTTCCACAAATCTCCCATGGTGATAACTCTGTGATTGAACTCGAACAATTAGAAGCGTTTTGCAAAGAAATCCAAATGAGAGAAAGGACAGCAAGAATAGAAACGAGCGAGATAGTAAGCAGACGATGGGAAGCCCACATACATATCCAACACAGCATCGCCGCTGAGCCCTCAGATCTTGCGGATCCTGATGCCTGCGCCCAACTAATAACGTTGATCCTATTGAAGGATAAGAAGCACGGATGAAGCATCCATTCTCAGGATCCGCAGCGATCGATCTTCGGCAGGGGATCCCAGAGCATGAGGCGAGACTCGATCTCTGGTTGGACCGGGGGTGGGAGGACTTCATACAGAGATCCTCAGGGCTGCATATCTGCTGGTACGTTATATGGGGTTCGCGCATGGTTGGTAGGAGATAGACGAGTATGCTTTGGGGGCGTTTTGCGAGTCGTCTCCACGAAGAATGATGCCAACGTTGCTCAAGATATTGATGCTACCACGAAGTTAGCTAAAACTGAGAACAAGTCGCTTGACAGCCCTACACGTGAAACAAGCAGATGTTCCAGAAAACGTCTTGAGAAATGCTTCAATGGTAGTACACATCACGGATCGTGGAGCGACACTCTTCTTCGAGTCAGGTGGGCCCATGTCACCGGCCGCATATTACCGCCAGGCCCTTGCTTTCTGTAACAAAAGAAATATGCCGACGAGACGAACTAGACACTATTGAACCTTGGGTGGCAGAAACGTGGTGAGTGGCAGGGAAGAGGAGAGCTGAGGTTGATGCTTTTGCGAAAATTCTCGGAGGGGTTGCACGGTGAAGATCCGGGACTGTCAACCACAGCACTCACACGATGAATGATGAAATATTTTCGGCTTTTGATGTTGGCCAAATAAGGCGGTTCCTTGCTGCAGATAGATACTTCTTCAACAAAGACCAACAGACCATATCTATAGCGGGTCTCTCCCACTGAAGAAACTTCTACAAAAGCAAAACAGCAGATGCAATCTCGCACAACTGAGCTCTCACAACTGACCAGATCTCGTCTCATCTCTGTTCCCAGCTCCAAATTGCGGCTCAACATCCTCGTCGCCTCAATAGCGGACGATCAGGGTCTAACACTACCTATAATTATGTACCGGTGGAACGGATGTTTTCTAGCTTCGAGCCTAGAACCAATGGTCTAAGACTCCAGTCCACTGTGAAACATGCCACGTGCATGGTTGGCGTGTTTCGCACGCTATTGATAGCGGCCGCTGTAGGGCTTTGTGAGGCTGTAGTGGATGTCTGGAGAGGAATAGCAGAGCAGCTTTATTATGTTGAGGTTACCACCCGTATTTTGAAGCGTGGAGATAGGAAAAAAGGAAGTTTGCATATAATAGTACGCTAGCAAAAGAAAGCAGATCATCCGATTGCTACCTAACATTCTTGGTGACACTGGACAGATCTCGTAGGCAAGCCCTGTAAGCCTGGACCCTGTCTTCGGCTCCGCTACGGCTCCCAGATGGAAGTTGTTACAGATATGGGCCTGAAGAATTGATGGGCGGTCAATGCAGCGAAGAGTCGTGCTTGTATATAATTGGAGGGTCATATCAGCCATTGAGATTGCCAACGCTTCACTGCGGAGATGATAGATGATGCTGGTGGTAAGCTCGAATGAGTATGATGTCATTGACTCTCTCAGGTCAAACCTCACTGCCTCATACAACGGCACTCTCGCAGCCGTTCAATAAAGAGAAGTTCACCTATCTCAAAGTACAATTAAATAAACAGCTCGCACTTCTGTTCTTGGCGGATTTATAGCTCCACTTACCAGAAGATTGTACATGGAAACATTCAACTTTGTCAGCGAGCGTCTGCTCAAAGGGCATTGACTCACCCGTGCATGGTCAACACAAGCAATACCTTTATCAAGCATTTCTGTAAAGTTACTTTACGGGGCTGTGCAAAATAATACAAGAGATTTCTGGTCTTATGCGACTGGCTGGTAGTTGAGTTGGCCATGTTTTGTTCATCTGTGACCTTACCTTGACACTCAAGCTTGTAAGTGATGGCTTGTTGTAAATTCATTCTCCTGCACTAGACAAACACCACCAGTCTATATTGAATTGTGTTAAATAGCTATATGAATAAACAAGCACTGCTACTTCGATTAGATTTTCTACATAGATCGCTTGAAGCCAATACTTGACAGAAGCACCGTGCAAAGCGCCGTGACAGAAGATAGAGAATGGGGCATTGCAGGGTATAGGGTGAATGTTCGGAATAGCACACACAGGCAACCAAAAAGAAATGTTGCGTACTAAGTGTTACCACAACGCGAGTTGCACCAAAACAATAATTTTGAGCGGTTTACTCATGGCCTCTGTTGAATAGCTCCAGCGCTCTGATCACTTATGACGATCCAGTAGTGGCAACCACCCCGCAATCCTCAGCAATCAACCATCTACAATACAACCTACCAAGTGCTAAGCCACCATGACTCCCTCATAAACCCCCCCCAAGTCCTCACTTACACGACTCCAGAAATGCTCGAATTTATACCGCCATGAAGAAGAGATCTCGTGCTTGCGAAGCCTGTCAGGCTCTCAAAGTCAAATGCGAACCATCAGCCGAAGAGTCATCTATCTGTGAACGATGTTCTCGTTACAATCTCACTTGTGTTCCTGCTGCGAGAAAGTGGCAGAGAGATAGAATTGCTGAGCTGGAGGAGCAGGTTAGGAATCTGCAGGATAAACTTGATGGTGCTACCAATTCGACCTTGGGGTTGTCGACTTATGCTGCTTCGACGAGGGCTACTTCGGTGTTCTCTGATGGAGCTTGGCCACAGACAAGTGCTGGGCAATCAGAGCTGGGCTTTCTGGATTCCCGTCTAGACTACGATACTCAGCTTCGATGTCTGGAGGTCTGCTCAACAACCGCTGGACAGTTCTGGTACCTTATACCTTCAGTCGACACCACCTCAGCACGCTCATGGCTAGACTCCCTCAGGACAGGAGCACCCGTCAAGCTCATATCCATGCTCGCCTTCACCATGGCCCCCTCCTCCGCCCAGATCGATCCCCAAACACAAGAAGACCTACGAATCAAGACTTTCGAAATCCTCGGCCAAGCAGCCGTCGGTCTCAAACGGCCCTCCCTAGATCTCATCCAGGCCGCGCTAATAACCGGTCTCTGGATCCGGCCCTCCCTCGACTGCAACCACGGGAACCCGAACCAGCTTGTGTCGCTGGCACACGATCTCAGCGTGGAGCTTGGTCTTGGAGGTGCGGAAATGCAGACTTCTGCACCGGCATGGTTCTTCCGGATCCAGGGGCCGCTGACGCTGGAGATGCAGAAGATTTGGTTGGCGGGCTGGATAACTTCTACGATGAAGGCTGTTGGGCTGAGACGAACGCATGATTTTGATTGGGGAACGGCGCATTATGAGGCTCTGGGGGCGGTGGAGGCTGATGGGTCGGATCAGTTATTCTTGGAGATGCTTCATACGATTCGACTTCACGCGAAGGTTGCTAGTGCTCTTGAGCTTTGCAATACTCGCATGTTTCTCGACGTCAACTCTGATGTCGTAGCGGCTACGAGGAACCAGGTCTACAATGATTTGAACGAACTGAGCAACAGACCTCTTGCGGGCGATGTTCAACTTCGTTTCTGGAGAATGCTCGTCGCGATACATGTCAACGAACCAGTTCTACATACAACTACCAACAAAACCCTCTTCACATCCCCTTACATCTCCGAAAGAATCGGCGTCCACGACTTCGCCCGCGGTCCCATAACCCCAGCAACAGCAACAGCTCTCCACTCCATAGTAGAAGCCTGCCACCTCGCCATCTCCATAGTCCTCGAAATGGATGCCTCCACCATCCTATCCCTTCCCTCCCTCTGCTTCGGTCCAGCGGTGAGCTACACACTCTCCATCCTCATCAAGGTCTTCGTGGCAGTGTCTGCACCGGGAAACACATACAGTCAAATCCTGACCCGCGAAACCCTGCGCGTGCGAGAAGCCATGCAGAAACTCATTTCCGTCAAGGAAGCGCTGCTAAAGCTCGATCCGCACATGGGCAACTGGAATACAAGGATCATAGGATCTGTGGAATGGCTGGGCGTTTGGCTGGACGATTACGAGAGTATTATCGAGCGCTATGAGGAGAATCTGCATAGGGAGGTTGCAGAACAGGAAATCGAAGGACTCAGCCCCAATGGACATTTCTAATCCATTCCTACCGACTCTGTACTTTACACCAATCTAGTAATTAATCTTTAGTCTACGGAGTAACATGCACCTTATTCCCTGTAGCTTGAATTTTTCTCCTGCAGAAAGGGTCTAGAAGCCGTTAAATCCTACAGGGATGTTTTTGGCGCGGGAATCCGTGTCCTGTCACTTACACGGGTAGACTCACAAATGACGTACACGACTCTCGGGAGGGTTTAAGGCTGTGCAATAAGCGATCAGGGCTGTGCTGGCAATTAAGCTTGTCTTTCCCCAGGGTCTTTTATGGAGACGGTGAATTTTGACCGTGGATTTTATATGTGTTTGAAATGTGAGACCCTGGTAGTTGGGGATCAACATCATGATCACAGAGCGTTATGCATGGGATGGGCGAGAGTCGATGATGCTTTGACTCTGAGGGAGATGCTTGGTATGGAAGTGAGGAGGAATTGAGGTAGGAGTTTGTTTGAGGTTTGAGGTTGGCTTCATGGGGAGATGTTGTGTATAAAGTGAAGGGAGAAGCACGGCGAGAAGAGAAGTCTCATTACTCACAGCTTCACACTCCAAGCATCACAACATCACAATCGCTCTCAGCTCAATAGTTATCACCAACCTCATTATCTTCTTCAGCATCAAAAGCCTCCGAGATGAAGTTCCTCAACCTCGCAGCCCTCGCATCCGCCGTGGTCGCTCAATCCGACCTCGCCAGCATTCTCTCCTCCCAATCCGACCTCTCCACTCTCGCCGAGCTCCTCGCTCTCGTGCCCGACATCGCAGAGACTCTCGCATCCGCCAGCAACATCACCATCTTTGCTCCCACCAACGAGGCTTTTGCCTCGGTCCCCCGAGACATTCCTGAGGGTGAAGCCATTTCTCAGCGCAACGACACCATCGCCATTGGTGCTCTGTTGTCAAACCATGTCTTCAAGGGCTATTATCCTGCCAAGGTTGCTACCGACATTCCTGTGTTTGTGCAGTCGCTTCTAGACTCGAGCTTTGTCAATTATCGTCAGCCCTTTGGGAACTTTACGGGTGGGCAGTATAATGGTATTGTGAAGGATGGCGACGATGTTGTTGTCATCTCTGGAGAAGAGACTCTATCCTATGTGACTGAAGCCGTAAGCAATGCTCCATCTCAGGCATTGAATTGGTACTCATGATTTGCAGGATATCAGGGTCGGTGACTCGGTCATCATCCACAAAGTCGACAAGCCTCTCAGCTTCGGTGCTCCTCTCCAACTCTTCACCCGCCGCGACAACCTCCTCAACTTCAACGCCGCTCTCAACGCAGCTGACCTCCCCTACAACTTTGGCAACTTGGACCGCGACTCCTCTACTCTTGTCAACATCTCTGATTTCACCGTCTTCATCCCCAACGACCCCGCTTTTGAGGCTATTGGTTCAGTCCTCGAGAGCGCTGATCTCAAGACTCTGCAGGAGGTGTTGAAGTATCACATTGTCGACGATGTTCTCTTCTCTACGGACCTGGCCAACGTCAGCGTTCCTAGTCTGCAAGGTGCTGATTTGACGTTTACTGTTGCTGAGGATGGAAGTGCTTGGGTGAACGGTGCTAAGATCCTCTTCACCAATGTTCTTCTCTTCAATGGTGTCGCTCACGTTATCGATGGGTAAGTCGTGCTTCAACTTGACCACCAACAATACTGACAACAATAGTGTCCTCAATCCTGCCAACGACCCCTTTGACCGCGCTGATCTCAAGCCCGCCGCTGAAGCTGATGACCGCCTTGCTTTCCCTGACGCAACCCCCGTCTCCAAGCTCCCTTTCTCAGTCATCAGCTACGCCGACGACAGTCAGCCTACTTACACCACCCCCGAACTTCTCAAGACACTCAAGGCCATTGACGTCTCTGCTCTTGCTACTGCCACCGCTACCGCTGATGCTACTACTGGTGCTGGAGAGACTACTCCCACTCCTACCGGAGTCACCCCTGTTGTCAACGCCGCAAGCTCCAAGTTCGTCGCTGGAGGAGCTAGTGCTTTCGCCGTTCTCATTGCTCTCCTGATGGTTTAAGCTGTTGGTAGCTTGAGGTCGTGTTTGTAAAGCTCCTGTTTACACGATGGTGTTGTTCACCTTAATGCTCCAGATGCAGATCTTCCAAGATCCAGAATTCCCCGGTCAGAGTAGACTAGTACTTAATATCCTGAATTTACATTTTTTCTTCTAAAGTGTCATAAGAAAATGTGGACAAACGTATACCCAATCGGGGAGAGCAAGCGCCGAAGATTGGTCATGTAGACTCCATCTCGGAATACCGAGGTCTAGCGAGAGTCCGAGAGTGGAGATTCCGTGCGAGGATCGCCAGAGTTGGCTTCCGAATCGCGATACCAATTCCAATTTCGTGCTACAACTTCACTGATTGAATTGTCAGATTATTTCTTGCTATAACACTTACACCAAACGTCAACGCCCATACAGCAGCTTGCGTCCCTCGCTTTGCAGTTCCTATATCATTTCTCAAACTCTCAAGTAAGTCTCGTGATGAGGGCGCCCGTGAAAGCACCTTCTACTTGGGGTAGTACAGCTCGTCGGCTCGCACGTTGGTCGTTCTTCATCTTTATTTGTTACTGGAGTGCTGAATGGATCTCAGATCATAGAGGCGCAATCTCTCAACTTCCCCTGGCAAGCACCCTAGTCGCAGCACCAACAAGGCTCTACCAGCAATATTTCTCTGGAGGAAAGCCATTTAGTTCGTCTACGTTCAGGCTACAGGAGCAGTCTCAGCCTATCAACATGGGCTCTCAGAACAAGCATCGTGACGGCCTCAAGGAGCATCTTACTCACGATAAACTTGACGAGCTACGGAGTTTCTGGTTTGAGCATATCCCTGAGGAGGCCAACCGTATCATCGCTCCTGGAGAACTGCAAAAGAGATGGTTCTTCTCAGACAAAGAGTTCGATAATGTCTGCGTGTAAGTCGCACACTTGCTCTCAATCTACCATGCCCTCTAACGCATCCTAGCACTCGATTCAGCCCTGTACTAGAAGCCATCCGCAACGCAGGAGTCACATCCGCGCAAGAGCTTCTGTCCGTTGCCAAGCCTCGGAACTCGCTAGACTGGTTGAGTCTCATCATTCTGCTCGACCAAATCCCACGCAACTCATATCGTGGGGACAAGTCATCAATCTGCTTCAACTACTTCGACCCCATTGCGCAGCAAGTATCCCTAGAGGCCATCAAGCAGGGCATCCCAGATAAGGTACCCGAGATCCGCTGGGTCTTCTCCCACCGCAACTGGTTCTACATGCCCTTGATGCACTCAGAGGATATATCTGCGCACGAAAAGGCTGTCGCTGCTTTTGAGCAGATGAACCAGGATATACTGAGCTTGACGGAGGGAACAGGCGGTGCAGATGAGTACGAGAGGAAAGCAAGAGAAGTGGTGCAGGCGGATCCTGAAGCAGCAAAGGCAGTTGGTGAGACGAACAAGGTGTTCGAGGAGAAGCATATAGTGATTGTCAAAAGGTTTGGGAGGTATCCACATAGAAACAAGGCGCTTGGGAGGGAGGCGACGCCAGCCGAGGTGGAGTTTCTTGAGAGTGGAGGTGATACATTTGGTAGCTGAGATGCTTGAGTCCTAAGCATGCATTGCATACTGTAGCGGATCATTATGATCTGCACTAGTTATAGACAATGACCTCATTGCGCTAAGACGCCTGCCATGTTGGTCAAGGTACGCTATCAAAGCAGTTGATGATCATATTCGCGTATCAACGCCAGAGCAGTCAGACAGGAACATGTTGTGGGCGTAGACAAGCCATTGATGACAGGTAGTAGGTACCAGGCACTAAGCTGAGAGTAAGTTCAGAATAGTCGCTCGGTGTTTTGAAGAATTGAGTATCCCCAAGTCAATCGATCCATGCGGGCAATTAACTGCAACGCGTCGTCTCATGACAGCGTATGCGAATCCTATTCAGAGCCACCTCATACAATACGCCCAAAGCGAATACGTCCAGGCAATTTAAACGGCAGCCGAAAACGCCCCTTTGCGCCAATAGGAATCGACGGGTACTCTAGTGTGACAGCCCCAACTACCGACAGTCCACTAACGACCAGCGCCCGCCCACCAATTCCCCAGGGGCTTTTTACGGTTCTGACACTCAATTACCCAAACAGGCACTCGGATGTCGAGTGATCCGACTTCCAGCATCGGGAGTTGACCTGATGTCACAGTGCCATTGTCCGTCAAATAACACCACTTTTCTTCTTCCAACTATTATATATTGTAAACAAAATTGTCTTTGATTCGAAATGGTTACTACAAGAGCAAGTTCTCGAGGCGAGAGTGTTGGCACTGAAAGTTTTACTACAATCGATATACCTCCTACACCAACTACACGAAAACGAACGATGAAGAACACAGACTCGAACCCCTCATTTTCAAATGGATCGTCCAAGAAACACGCTGCCCATACGTGGCATCATACAGCCTCATCGACAACAATTCTCTGGCTCGCTGTATCATTGCCCCTCGTCATATGGGACATAGGCTATGTCTTTGGCAGACCTCACACCATGCCTGAGGGTTTCCTCCACTGGCCATTATACGTCCCGTATGCGCTGTACGGCGAGGTCGATCACGTTTACGGATGGAAGGCGTTCAATGCCAAGAACGGCTTCACGGCTGCCCAGACGGCGTTGAATGTTGTTGAGACGGTCATGTACTTGGTATATTTGTACATGCTGTGGACGCGCGCGGACAAGACACTTGATGGGGCGAAAAGGACTTTGAGTGGGCGTGATGGCGCGTTTGCTGTTGTTATTGGCTTTAGTGCTGCTGTTATGACGCTGAGCAAGACGATCCTATACTGTAAGTGAGTCTGTCCTATGCGTGAGATGGAATCTAACGGACTCAGGGGCCAATGAGTATTATAGTGACTTTGACAATATTGCTCACAACACACCGATGGACCTACTCACTCTTTGGATAGTTCCCAAGTAAGTGCCAATACGATGTGCTAGAATTAATACTAATTCCCTATTAGTGGTGCCTGGATTGTCCTTCCGACCTACATGATCTCCAAGTTTGGGGGAGATATTCTCGATGGCTTGACACTTGCTTCAAGTCAATCGTCAAAGACCGAATAGAATAAGCACAAGGGGTCTAGTTGAACGCCTTTTTTAGTACTTTACAGACATGTATGAGCAATGGCAATGAGGGATGATTTGTGAATGACGAGCTGGGTTAGAGTGCTTTGAGGCTTAATGAATATTGGAAGAACCACTTTGAACTTACCACGGTCGAATAATGGCATTCATCCCCATCAGCACACCGCAATAAGAGCAAGTTACATCAGTATTTGATGATTAACTACTACCCTTCCAACCTCACTCGTACCCTCCCACAGCAAACATAATAAAACTAGCTATAACTATCGTCTAGACATGTCATTTCATAAAGAAATAGGGGTATTCGCTTGTAACAACCAAAATAACAAACATAGAAAAACGCGTCAAGCGTAATAGCGATCACACATCTCCTCCTCGGCAAATCTCATTCTCATCTCATATCAGTCAACCCTCCCAGATCAGCATACTGCTCCCAAGCAGGCATCATATCATCATCCTCCTCCGTCATCTCCCCCGGACTCTCCATAAACGTCTGCATCGCCGCCCAATCCGCATCCTCATTCACGATATACGGCTCCTCCACCTGTGTCTTTATCCGCAGAGGCTGCGGGAACATGCTGTGTCGTCGTCTCTCAACCTCGTCTGCGTAGCGTGAGTCGGAGAACATCGCGCTGATGGGTCGGCTGCGCTTGGAGACGCGGCCGGACATTGAGCGTGCTACCATGGACATTACGTCACGGCGGCGTTCGCGGCGTGCTTTTACGTCTTTGGGGATCGCGGGCTCGACGTAGTACTCTGTTAGGGGAGGGGTGTCGAGGGGTGACTCGGTGTCGTTGGTTTCGATGCTCTCGGGGGTTGTGTTGTATGTGTCGTCTGTTTTTGTGTCGCTTCCGTCTGTGTCGATGCTTACATCGTTTGTACCGTTGCCGTAGCCGTGGACAACGATTTCGTGGTATGTTGGTCGTGACGGTGGTGTGATTGATTGAGGTGGTGTGGTAGAGGGTGATTTAAACATGCGCATGGATCGTCGAATTGTTGAAGAGCGGCTAAGTGCCTGTGTGAATGAGTTTGAGCGCGATGGACGTGAAGGCACTGATGCTCGACGCTCCATCTTGCGGTTGTCATGTTGTGTCTGGGGACGATCTCGGTGAGTGAGAGCGAAGTAGTCGATGTCCGGCTTGATCTCGATCTTCCCAAAGGAATCTTCTCCTGCGTCTGCAGCACCATCCTGTTGCACACTCCAGGTCGGTCCGCTAGTAACGTACTGGGTCTGGCGTCTCAAGATACGATCCAGATCACGAGGTGTATCCCAGGGTGGAAGCTTGTCAGTTAGGGCCGATAGACTGTAGTGAGCCTCGTTGATCTCGTCCTCTTGCAAATCTGTTGCTGTGTCTGTTGCGTAGCGAAGGACTTGGTATGTTGCGTAGATAAGAATCCATCGGACCTTACGGGCATCCACCAGCGACACCTTCTCCTGCTTATCTGCCTTGTTTGGCGACATGATAGAATCTTCTTCGAAGCGTCGATATGCTCTCACGAGGTCATTCTGTGCGACTCCTGGCTTCATCAAATTAGATGCGTTGATCAGCGCTGAGTGAGCCGTTACTCTGCGATCCGACCTGAGAGTCACACGTCCAGGAAACCAAGACATGCGCCGTGAGTTATTGCCATTCGTGCCTGGGAGAAGCGGCAGCGGATGATCAAGAACATCGTATCCATGTTCAAAATCGAAAGATTGAACCAGTTGAATAGTACAGATCCCTCCGTGCGCTGTGGGCGGTATGGTATGTGATGAGGTATACTGATCATCAACGAGTAGATCATACAAAGCCTCAAAGTCCTCACGCATAATCCGTAAAACAGCCGGATCAAACAAGTCGTTTCCAGAGTCCGCAGTCGGCGGGTAGTATCCCAGCTTCGTCGTATAAAACGATAACAAAAAACTTCGGAAGCGCTCAAGATGTGCCCGGGCCCCTGCTGAGACGCTCAAATGAGCCTCTGACAACTCATCGTCCAGAAATGTCTTCAGCATAGACGATGACCGCGTCATGCGATAATCAAGCTCGAGATGTCCTTTACGTATGAGTTTGCGTGTTGAAGGGCTGAGCTCCTATTCTCTTCGTCAGCGGCTGGCCTTAGCATTCTTGCTCAGAAAGAGGTAAACAACAAACCTGAAACCCAGCATTTTCGAACAAGTATTCGCTCATGCCGACGCAATGTGCAAAAGCTCGAATGTACAGCTCCTTCATTTGAAAACACTCTGCGAGCTGCAATATCGCCAGTGCGTGGTTTGGCTGGTTCGCCATGTCGAGATAGCCCTCCTCGTCGAAATACTCCATCATATCTGAGACATTGTCGTCCACGCCGGACCGAAACTCATGCATACTGTGGAGAAGACCAATAAGAGCATTGCCGAGACTGTATCCGACCATGGATCTTCGAAACACCCAGGCGAAGAAATTGCGTGTTGCGAGGTGGTAGTTGAAAGCTTGTGTTTTATCTGTCGTCGGAGGTGGCGGGATGTATAGTTCGATTTTGCGTGTTGTGTTTTTCTTACTCCATCTCATGAGCTCGCGAAGATTGGGTGCTTGAACGCCCTCCCACACGAGAAATCTTTGGACGAGGGGGTAGCATTGGGCTTCGAGGAGTGCTGAGAAGGGGACCTTGAAGGAGGGACCTCGTTGAGAATGACCTTTTGCGTGGAGATGCACCATGCAGTTTCCATTTCGAAACCACAGTTCAGGATCCTGTTTCTGTAATTAGATATTCAGTTTCATGAGTGATTCTCGACCGACTCACTCGTCGAATGTTGTCCCATTCTGTGCACGTTCTCGCAGCTCCATCCCACCGCTTCACAGTCGGATGATAGTCCATTCTCCCATTCACAAAAGCGCTGAACCGCAGGGAACTCTGTCTAGAGTTCACCTGTATAGACGGCATAGTGAGGGTCGTATATATATGTGCTTCTGGCCAGAATGCCAAAAATATCAACGATCAAAAGCAGCTGAACAAATCTGCAGCAAGCCGCGTCGTCGGGATGTTGCAGGTGAATGAGTCTTTGTTCGTTAAATCCCCCTGCTCTGTTTAGAAAAAAGGGCCCTGTCGTTTCTTTTACGAGCGCGTAAACTAAAACAAAAACCCCATCACAACTCAAGTGATACGGCCATATCGAAGGGGAAGAGACGTCAGGCGCAGGGTTCCATGACGGGTCCTACGTAAGAGATCTCCAGAAGATTCAAGACAAGACGAAAGATCTCAGACCTCGCCCAGGGGGGGCATACGGCCATGTTAATATTGGATCTCTCTCTAAGCTGCTCTGAACTGTCACAATGCACCAAGCCTAGCCTTGCCCAACATGGCGGCGAACCCTTGAACCCGGCAAGACAGGGCCCCGACGGTCGGAATTTGAATTCGAGCCAAGACCAAACCCAAAAGGTAAGACACTATCAAGCCACCGCATTAGCGTCCTTTTTCTCATTGACTTGTCTAGCTTGTTCAGCGTCTTGTCGTTTTTGAGCTGGTCGTAGATCCCTGCAGGTAGCTCGCCTATTAACTAGAGTCTAGAAGCTATGAGCTGGCTCTTGACGTGGTTTGTCTTGTTTGTTGTACTCCGTAGAGCACTGCATACTACTCCATACAAAGCATTGAACCCATAGATGATCAGTGCTCAGTGACCAAAAAGCAAAGACTGTCGATTTAGTCCCGAACCCAAGAACCTGGCATGAGACAGAAAAGGATGTAGTGTCGTATCGTACACCGTTTGTTAGCCCATTGGACTCTCCGATCCGATCTATCGGAGCATCTCGAACACCACCCACCGAAGCTAGCAGCAGCATTACCTTAGGCTTTGGTCACAGCTTGCGCAATACAAGTCAACAAGTTACAGCAGAGAGAAGTTGGTGTGTATCTCTGCATGATGCATCGACAGTCACACAGCACCACGAACAGAATCAATGATGATGAATGATCATCGTTCTTTTGACCGGTCGTCCCGGGCAAACTTGAGAGCCTAACTAACTCTAAGCACGCAAGCAATCTTGAAGAGAAAGTGGCGCAATCTCTTTCAAGGTCAACGAAATTGTGTTAATCTGTGACGTCCCGAAATTTCGGGAATTAAAACAGGGCCTCTATTACTCCACGGGTCTTGTCTTTGTTAGGCAGATTTCTTCAGCTCCACTGGGGTATGCCAGATTATCTCCAACAGCAAGGATCATCTCCAGCTACAATTCCTGACTCTTGATACATTTTTACGACAATTATTTCTGCGACCGCCATTTATTATCACTCTCTCTCAGTTCCAGTCTGACAACGAATTGTCTGTCAACTTGTGGATGGCGACCCAAACTCCTCAGCCGCACCGACTGGGGGACTCGAAGGCGTCGGGAGACTTTCAATACTCGAACCATTTTGGGGACTTCAGCCAAGCCTAGTTTTCTGCTTAGACCAAGGGGCAGGTCCAGAGACTCCAGACAGGTCAGAGCTAGAGTCAGCCCAGACCAGGGGCGGGACCTGACCATCACTTGTTCTGGCTCTAGCTCGGCATGCAGAGTAAGCCCAGCATGAGGTCTTCTTCTGTCATCATGAATCAATAGCCTTTGACCATCGTGAACTAAACACCTCTCTACCCGTAACTCAAAGAACCCCGCAATTGCAATGTCGTGCAGGCGTCATATCATACCTGGAGCCAACAAGGCAATATTGACTTGACTGGATACTGAATCATGGAGACCGGAGTCCGAGTCCTCGGGTTCGGAACTGAACTGAACTCATAAAAGTCCAGAAGGGATTATCGTTGAGCAAAGCCTTCACAAGACAAGACAAGGCGAGACGAGAAAAGCTCGTTAACAAGGTTGAGCTTGTATGTTGCATGCCAGACTTTTACAGTCTAGACGCATCTGGTTCCAGGTCCCGTCTCTCGCTTCCCGCCTTATAGCTGAACTCGCCACTAGCAAATCGTCTCAAACGAGGTGGAAAACTTTCTTTACTGCGTTGTGGGCGGGATGAGATGGCATTCAGGGTTCAAGCTTGGAGCATTAGCCGCCCTCAGTTGTGTGTTTCACCAAGCGAAGCTTCGACCACTACCAAAGGTCTTTTTTCCTGACAACGCCACAGTCTCGGAATGCATGAAATGTGCTGAGAGGGCTTATTCATGCTTCTGGGGACGAGAGTCAGGGCATTACGGAGTAGAGGACTACTAATTAAGGACTTTTGGAAACCGTTCTGCGTTGTGGTTTAAAGGTTACCGACCAAGAATCAGATAAATAGACTTCAGAATGAAACAAGACCATAGCAATATCCTTAGATGGAGCAGGAAAATACAATAATCCAGGTCGGTCAGTGCAATTTTAGGGGTATGATACCGAGTTGAAACAATTGGTATTCATGAGCGTTGAGAGAGGAATGTTGAACCGACTCAGCTCTCTAATATTCACGGTGAGGCTGTAAGCTGAGACTGAGTGTGAGAGTGTTGACGACGAACAACCAACCGTGTTTCACCTTTCCTTTTTGTAGTTTTAGCAAATCATACAGTTTGCTAAGTTCAAATCGAAAGACGCGATTAGTTTATTCTTACTACAAACTCACTGATATTAGTGCTATTCGGGAGGTGCATTTAGTTGAATGAATCTATGTAGACCCCTGATTGGCCCCTCACCGAAGTGACCATAGCTCTACTCACCTCACACCGAGAACAAAGACCCTGGGCAGTTCAAGACAGCTCCCTTGCCCAACTTCAACCCGAGTCTGCCAACCTCCACGGCCTTCCACTGCCATGGCGCTCGTGATACCTTACACGTACATCCAATGTCCGTGTTCCGACGACTCTCCCCCCGATCTCCCCCAAGCGCGTCAGTCACAATCCTCCGACGAACGAACCTTTGACCCCCGCGATCCTCGCTCAAACTACAGCCTCTACCCTCTCGAGTACCTTCTCTACTGCGAAGACTGCCAGCAAATACGATGTCCACGATGTGTGAACGAGGAAGTTGTTACATATTATTGCCCAAATTGTCTGTTTGAGGTTCCCAGTAGTAACTTGCGCAGTGACGGGAATAGGTAAATAACACAAAGACATGGTCCTGACCAAGCCTGACATGCGCCTCCTAGATGTACCCGAAGCTGTTACCAGTGTCCCGTGTGTATTGGCCCTGTCCAGGTTATGGAAACACCTTTGGAGAAAGACCAGTCACACCCTGGCGCCGACATCCCAGGGCCTCAGTATGCCCTTTATTGCCAGTACTGCAACTGGACCTCCACCGAGATAGGCATCAAGTTTGATAAGCCTAACGGCATTCACTCGCAGCTCTCCAAGATCAATAACGGAGGAGATCTCAAGCTCACAGCGAAAGAACTCAAAGAGCGTCGCAAGGAGAATCCAGATGAGCCACCTCTTGCTGACAGTGATGTCGATACAGACCTTCAGTATGCCAATTTGAAGTCATTCTATCAGTCGCAGCTCGCAGACACAAATGCTGCCTCGAGCGGTATATCTCCATTGAATGACACTACTGGTTATGGATCGCCTGCAGCGTCGTTGTCTCGTATCATGGCTATGTACACCGGTCACGGCCATGCCCGCAAGCGTAATGGTCCTTCAGATGTGATGCGTGAAGCTCTCTCGGCAGAGGAGGGTCTCAAGTTGGCTGATCTGGATGAATCTGCTCAGATTAAGAAATTGCACCAAGAAGGGTGGGATGCAACGGCTACTATACAGCAGAACCTTGAACAAGCAGAGGCTCAGAGATTCCAGGATGGTCTACGACCTATACCACATCTTCTCAGAACAAAGCGCTCTAAGCGTTGCTCTGTGTGTCGGCATATTATCTCCAAGCCAGAAAATAAGGTCACGTCGACACGTTTCAAAATCAGACTTGTCGCAAAGGCGTATATTCCTACGATCACCATCAAGCCTCTCAACCCCACAGTCGGAACAGTCCCTACCACGCAGCGTCCTCAAATTCTAGAAGAGCGACCACTCAAGCCCCTCACCCCGCATCACTACATCATAACCTTCAAGAACCCTTTGTTCGATGGAATCAAGGTCACACTTGCTACGCCGAACAGTACGCCTGGCAGATTCTCCAGCAAAGTTACTATTCTTTGTCCTCAATTCGATATTGATGCCAACACGGACATGTGGGATGATGCTCTGAAGGACGACGACAGAGACAAAAAGCGAAAAGGTGAAGAGAGCAGTGGTCAGCCTGAAGCCGGTAAGATTTGGGAGCGAGGGCGCAACTGGGTCAGTATCATCTTGGAAGTGGTTCCCGCTTCACTACGACTTGATGGTCAAAAGGACAAGAGCCCGTTGAAGGAGGATGAGGACATTCTTGAGATACCCATGTTTGTGAGAATGGAGTGGGAGCCTGACTCTCAGCAAGATGTCGGTGCAGCATCTGCAAAGGAAAAGGATGCTCAGGAGAGGAGGGAGCTGGCTTACTGGTGTGTGCTTGGAGTTGGCCGCATCAGTCACGATTGAACATAAAAAAAGGCATGCACATGAGACATAGATCTAGATACCCAGTAATTGGACCAAGTCATGGACGGGAAGAAGTGTTTGAGTTGTCTTGTCAAATCATACGCAGCTTGCTTGTACCATTTATCAAGCTACTTTCTTTAAGACGCCAAGCCCCTTTTTTGACCAACCATTTGTGAAAAAACACTCCCAGCCCGAATCAGGTAAAAATAGTCATTTCTTCTATTTCATCTCGAAAGGCAACGCAGACTTAGTAGTCGGCGGGACCGCTCTGAGGGAACTCGAAGTTGACGTTGCGGCCTGTCAAACGGCGGTAGACCTCAGAGTAGGTGTCGAGGCGGTAGTCAACACCACCACGCTCCTTCTCGTCAAGGATGACCTTGAGGGTCTTGGAGCCGTCCTCCTTGGTGCGGACGCGCTTGCCGACGATCTCGACGGGGTAGGTGAGATCCTCGAGGATGGCGTCGTGGACAGCAGTGAGAGTTCGCGAACGGGGGCGCTTCTGCTTCTGGGTGTTGCGGGAGCGGGCGGATCGCTTGGGGCGGGGCAAGATGCGGCGAGAAGCGAGGATCAGGACATGGCGGTCAGAGAACTTCTTCTCGAGCTCACGGGTGAGACTGAGTGGCATTAGTATTGGGACGTTAGATGAGAAGGATGGGGAATATCTTACCGCTGCTGGACGCGGTGGAAGCCCTGCAGGGAAGGGACGGGGACAAAGATGACAATAGCCTTCTTGCCGTGGCCAACCTCGATCTAGTCAAGATCCCAAGTCAGCATGCGAGCTCCAGGACGAAACCTTGGACCGCTTCCCGTCCTGTTCCACAAAAGTCAATGATACTCCGGCTGGCACCCCTCCGCCCCGACGACATGTGTAAGCGCATCAAGTCAATTATCTCTCGAATATCGACGGAAAAAGTGCGCGGTCGGGAGGCGGAGAGGCCATTGCGAGAACAGTGCAGTTTTCTTATGTGGGAACAGGATTTCTCGAAACGAGACACAAGTTCGGAATTCTAATGTTTCATGGTATTCTCACCTCACGGGCAGAGACGATCTGCAGAGGTCGCAGGGCAACCTTGAGGTCGGAGGTGTTGGACTCGAGGTCGAAGAGAGCCTGAGCGATGCTGGTCTCAAGCTCGGAGGGGTTCTGCCTCGAGGGGCTGTTGGGAGCGATCTTGTTAAGGGCCTGGGCGCTCATTTTGACGGCTGGTTCGACTACGTGGGATTGACGACGACGAAGTTGATGGTGTTGCGCGGGCCGCTGGGAATTTTTGATAGTAGCCAATTTCGAAAAAGTCGCTAAATTGGGGTTTTCAACCCTCTTCGATTGTGGGAGGTCCGTGCGTGGGTGAGGAGTTGATGCCTGAGGCTTGAGTTCACTCCACCAAGACTCACCTTGCGGTCAGTGGGTCTAGTCACCAATGGCCCAGAAAGGAAATCGAGTTGGCTTACCCAGCGTCCCGTGTTTCGTGGCTTGATGCAATGAAAAGAAAGCAATCAAGTCTAAGGTCGCACAGCACTTCAGAAGCATTCACTTATGAATATGCATGATTTCAAATCAAGTCTGCTTGAATCTAAGACACGAAGCCGTGTAACTCCTGCAGCTTAACCACACTCACAACCACTTCAATGGTGGAAAACAACCCCGAGACGTCCGATGATGAAACAGTGCATCGTTTACAACATTCGTATCAAACAACCTGATCCTCTATCCAGTTTTTACTGTCACACATTCTAACCCTCACCGCCCTCGGGATCCTCCTCATCCTCATCACCGAGCTGCTTATCAACATCCTGCTGCACCTTTTCACCTGTCGTGTCCCTTGCGATCTCGGCAGCCTTCATACCGCCAGCTGTGAGCCACAGGAAGTGATTTGTCTTGAACTGGTCAATCTGGTTGAAGAACATGTGAAACCTGCCGTGTCTTGTTAGCCTTGTCCGACTTGTGCATACGTCAGGACTTACGAGTTATCCTTCTCCTCCACAGTGAAAATACGAGTGTAGATCTGCTTGTCCTTGAAGGCTTGGATCTTCTCTTCGTACTTGTCAAAGTCGATCGCTTCCTTTCCGAGTGATTCGGTGGCCTTTCGGTTGTAGTTGTGGAAGACGGGTCGCTCAAGCAAAAGTCCGAGACCGGGGGCTTTGGGGATGGCCATCTTTTGGTTCTGGTAGCTCTCGTTGATACGTTCCATGGGAGTGCCACAGCGAACGATCAAACTGGCTAGACCAACCATCTTTCGGATCTGGTGCATCATGAAGCTCTGTCCGTGGACCTTGAGAGACAGCCATTCTGTGTCGTTGATGATGATGGGCTTAGGGTTGACAACGAATGACTTGATGTGTCGCTTCGCGGAGGGATCAAAAAATGACTTTTGAACAGTGTAGTTGTGGAAGTTCTTTGTGCCGTTGTACTTGCTAAGGGCCTCCTGAAGACGGTTCAGGCGCTCGGTGCTGACACGGTATCGTCGCTTAGCGGCAACATAAGCTGCCTTGATGTCTCGAAGAGCGAAATCAACAGGGCCGAGCTCACGGTTCTTGGGCTTGTGGCTCTCCAGAACAAGGCCAGACTGTTGAGTCTCAGGCTCTGTAGCTTGTTCAGCAGTCTCACCAGCGGGTGTCTCAGTAGCGGGCTTCTCCTCTGCTGGTGCGCTCTCTTCGGTCTCTTTCGCAGCCTCCTTGCGTGCAGCGACCTCTTCATCATCCATAACGTGGACTCGCTCCAAAACGGCGGCCTTGGTCTCGGGATCTAACCGGGCCAAGATGGGCTTAATCTCCTTCTCTTCCACATCGGACCAGAAATCCTTGACGTCCTCCATCCGAGCAGCCAGCTCATCCTCCACACCGTGCTCCTTGGCCAACTCAACGAGTTTTTGGCCTAAGAAAGACTCGGGGTGGGGAGGTAGAAGACAGTAGCTGGGCATCAGATACTCGTACCATCTTGAGTCGCAGGTCTGGTAACAGCTGAAGGCGTTGTTTGTTCGCTGGATACCCCAAATTCGGATCTGTTCAGGTAGCTCGGCGTTGATCTTGTCCACAATATCCTCGTCTTCAATGATAAGCTTCAAACTGATGACGTTGCCAGCCGCATGCACACCCTTATCGGTTCGAGCGCATCGAACAAGACTCGACTTCTTGGGGTCGTCGGCATTGGCCTTGGAAATAGCGCTTGCGGCGACAAAAGCCTTGAATAGATCGGCCTCAATGGTCTTCTCGTTGCCATTGACCTGCATTCCCTTGTAGCCAGTGCCCGCATATCCAATCATGACAGCAACCTTTCGCTTGGGTCGTCGCTCCTCGGCAGCAATCTCATCCTTGGAGAAGGGGTTGTTGCTTGACTCGCCATCAGCCGAATCGCCCTTCTTGTTCAGTTTGCGACGCTTGAACTCCTTGAATTCATCATTCTTCTTGCGCTTGTCGCCCTTCTCACGACTAGTATCTGGTTAGCGCCGTTGGCAACTGTACTCATTTCACCAATTGAGGTCAGGACTTACCCCCATTCTCCGCGTCCCTTCTCTGATCGTCCTTTGCCTGGCTTTCTGTGGTCATGGCGCGGGTTGCGACGATTCTCAGAGCCATTGTTGTTAGAGGCTTTGTTGTTGTCGCCCGAGGGGCGAGACTGATTGGCGCTGCTCGCGGCAGGAGCTTCGTTATCTGCCGCCATGTTTGCATCGGTTGCGACAAATACGAAAGGTCGAGCTGACAGGAGAGAAAAGTTGTAGCTATCGCGCAGACACTTTTTTGGTTTGGTTGACGACGAGATTTTCGATGCGGGTGAGTGGGGCTTCCCGTTGCGGTCCCGGCGGGGGGAGCTTCATGTGTGGGGGCTACCCTGAATCTCGACATTGTCGTGTAAGTGCTGTCGAAGTATCAATATTTCCATCTTTGCTTTCAAGTTTCTTTTGCTGCTCATAGCTTGCTTTGATGATAGTACTTTTAATTTTTAATTAGTATTTTGCTTCTTTTTGTGAAATTAGACCCTCGTACTATGCTTATAGACAAAAAATCTTTTTACAGACTAATGTTTCTCCTATGGCAATCCTAATCAGTAATAAGTTTATCCCGACCTAGCCACTATCTCAAGATCAGGAAATTTGTATGGTCAAAATTTCTATTAACCGGCCTCTAGAGGAGGCCAGGTCATGTTTACCTAAGTTAAGGCGAAGCACAGAATCGGGGTGTGAATATAGAAACAGTATAATAGATTTAGCGTACATAGCAGCCTGATATTTAGTCCTGCAGACACATAAGTCTAGTCAACAATGATATTTACACACAGAAAATCGATACTCTTTATTCGGGCTATTTTACTATTTCTACCATGTTATCATTACTAGGTTGCTGCGCAGAAGTCTTCACTGCGATACATCCTGGCTATTATAACTGATCATTACGTGAAACGGGAGAAAGAACAGGAGAAAGAAGTGGTTGGCGATCTATGTATGTAGATTCAACACTATTCACCTGTGTAGATGGCTTACCGATTCTAGAGGTATTAAGGAGTCAAATACGTTCACTGATTTGATCATCGCAGCTGGTCAAATTTTATTTCATTCCAAAGCTTCTATTGTACAGAACGATTCGCCATCAAAATTAACGCTTTCACGCTTTCATAACCCGTTTAATAGTTGGAGCTTCGACCAGTGTCAGAAGGGAGGCCCTCCTCATCACCAGGCTCCTGATAGGTGCCACTGGGCTGGGCAGCACCTCGGGTACGCTCCTCGAGAATGTTGCTTTCGTCGATAGCATCTTTGTCATCACGCTCTTATGAATGTGTTAGGGAGGGTCTTTTGATAGAGCAAAGAGTTAGACATACCAAGCTGAGCATCAGTGTCGGCCTGCTCTCCGTCGATGGGATCCTCAACTCGATCGGAGTCGGACTGAACTGGGATGGGCTGTTCCTTCTCACCAGGGCGAGAAACATAAGAGTCGTCTTGGAACTCAGCGGAGGGAGCGTCTTGAAGACCGTCGGAAGACATGATGAAAGTTGTTGGTAGAGTGTGAAAAGTGGTTGTGGTGTAAGTGGTGAGTTGCAGATGAGAGTGAATACTGTGATACTAAGGTTATTCTTTTCTTCTCACTCGAGAAGACTACTCTTCTTATACCTTTCGTTTCTGCTCTTCAACTGAAACATCCATTCTCATCAAAAACGACTATTCCGTCATGGCCCGCAAACAACAGCACCTATCCATGACGACATTGACGGATAACCACTTCAATGAATCATCTCCTCAGGACCAACCGCACGGCTCGCTACTAGCCTTGCTGCAAGCACTTCCGAGGCCGATCTTAGTGCCCCTGATCTCTTAATTAAAAACCTCGATCTGAGAGGTTAATCTCTAGATCAGTTGTCGCGTGGCTGGGCGATTGTGATGCAAGTGGCAAGCAACTAACCGCGACCGATTCGCGATTTAAATGATCTTGACGCGTTAAGTGGTTTATCTGAACTGCAGTGGAGTTCGATCTTGGATGTCGTTAATGAGACAACGGGAGAGTTGCGTCAACGATCGATGATGCTGAGGTATTGCTAGCCTTTGAATCGAGGTCAGTGCTTCAAGGGATAGATGATCCTTAGTGGAGTTTGAGAGGGAGATTGGCGAAAGAAGCAAATTAAAGACGGGATCTGATGTTGCTATCCGTGAATTTGGGATGTGATTAGATCATAGATGAAGTCATTTTTGTTGTGACGATGTCAGGGAGCTGAGGTCTACAGTAGCTTGAGATTCAGGAACAGTGAGCTAAGACTGAACTAACGTCCAAGCTTCAGGGAGAAGTCAAGAGCGTCATAAACACCAAAAAAAATTATAGATCACAATTAATGGTAACCAATTGATAGAAAATGCAAAAAGAAACTCTTTGATGAGACTGGGACTCGAACCCAGGAGGATTGCTCCACCAGGAAATTGGTGTTAAGGTTAACCTTAACCTGGCGCCATAACCAACTCGGCCATCTCACCGAGGCTATTGATGGGATTTCAAGGATCAATAACAAATAATACACTGTAACACTTAACTGTGCATGCATATCTGAGCTTCACTGAGCTGGATATCTTAAAGGACGTGATCGCGTCAAAATGCATGTCATATCGGTCATCGTCGATACTTGATGAAAGGCTGCAGCAGGACATGGATTGTCTGGCTGTGTCACATTCCAATCTGAAGCTCCTATGCCGGGTCCTCCGCTAATGGCGGTGATGCGCATCATCACCATCAATTCATGCACAATTCACATATTCACCGCTGAAGCATCTACATTGCGCAAGAGTCGGGACAAACCCGACCTCAAGATTGCGCCCAGCTCAGTCTACGATGCAAAGGATCCTGATCTTGATTTCTCATCCATCTGCTTCTATGGCGAGAATCAGATATCATCTCCCTTGCAAAACCTTCTAGCTGCATATTTGTGCCCGTTGGGCCGAATCAGAAACACCAACGAGGCAGGATGTTTTGCTTTGTTTCCCAATTCGCCACACCGCCGTAGAATGTCGCGATGCTCTCTGAAACAAGATCGCAGCGCGCGCCTAGAAGGACAAGGCAGGTAGGTAGGGAGCCTGTGGCTGAGGGTATCTATGGAAACTAGTATGTAGGGCCTTTACTCCGTACGGCTTCTGTAGATGGCCCAGAACATGGGCACACTCTGTGATCTGTGCGAAGTACATGCATTCGAGTGGAAGAAAAAGTTCCGAGCCTGGTCAGTAGTGAGCCAGGATATGGCGATCCTCAATCATGACACGTCAATGATTGACCGTCGCAGAGTCCTGTATTGTAAGAACTAAGAAGAATGAGAGAGATGATAAACCAAGACCAAAACAGAAGCTTGGTCATGTAGAGGGGGCAACGTGAGTTCAAAAGGGTTCCCCTAGTAGCAAGAATCATGGCATCGCCAGATTCCATTTGCCAACCATCGGATTATGGTTCAGCGCCATGGTCATGCCTCTGATGATGTGCTCCGGGACCAAAGTGAGCAACAAGGTCTCGATTTGGCTATATGATCAAACATTAATTGTGAGTTAATGCCAGCAAGAAAACAAAGTTAATAAGTCGAAAGATACGGAGGTCTCGGATCAAAAGAACTCTCCTTTTTCTTGCGTGATTGTCGATCAAGTGATGGTTTATCAGGGCTGAGCGGTTGATAAGCCGCCAGGGTGAAAATGAGTCGACTCGGATCTCGGGATGGCGAAAGATTCATGATAAAAGATACCGGCAGTGAGTGGCATGGGACCGAGAAGAGGTCAATCGACGTGGGAAAATCACATCATCTCAGGCGATATATTCCAGAACAATGCACAATATTGATTATGGTGGAACTCGTCGAGGCGCATAGTATCTGAATTGATGACTGAAGTTTGAGCTTATCGTATATCGTGGCTGTCTGTGGCGCATATGCATGGACAACGGCCTATTAAAGAACGGAAAGTTAAAGAATGATCAGCTGCAGGCTTCAAGCCAAAGAGGGGCTGCGAAGTAAAAAGGAAGCCCAGTCTGTCAGCCCAAGAGAAAAGAAGACGTAAAAAAGAGGAGACTTGGAAAGAGAATTCTGACGATGGGGTCTTGTTATGTAACAGTGAAGAGGATACGGCGGCACTCGAGGATCCATTTTCTTTTCATCTGCCGACAACACCGAAAATACAATGTAAGTAACGTGGAGTGGATTATCGTATTCAAGCAAGAGACCACCAGCGACCAGTCGAGTCTAGCCAGTGCCATCCTTATTGCAGAAGGAGTTTTCTCTGCGCCATTAGAGGGTCTCAAAGGGTCCAAATCTAATTCAGTCATGCCCCGTCCACGCCCCGGTCTGGTGCATGACTTGGTAGAAGCCAAGTTGAGATAGCGTCAGATACCTTGATGATGCTGTGAGAGGTCGTTCCTTGTTCCTGACATGAGATTGATGCTGTAATCTTCAAATTCCATATCAATCCTCATTGCGATGCTTCAGTGGCGAATGCCATCAACTTTGTATCTCTCAGCAGAGCCGCCATCTCGACTTACACCGACCGAGTGCCGTGTCTCAGCCCCACTTTTATTAGATCGGCCGCTGATAACGCCATTTCGGTCCCAAATTTGAAAGAGTTTCCAGTGAGATGATTGAACAGAATCAACAAGGCCAGACGTTTCCAGGGCTCAAATCAGTGCGGACAAAGCTGACAGGGGGGCAGGTACATGGCAGTTATCTGGAATGGAAAGAAGGATGTGGTCGCACAAAAGGATGAGAAGAGGAAGCTGAAAGATAACAGCACGATAGAGAGTGTCGGAGTGATAGGGATAGGGAATAACACTGAAATGAGTTTGTTAGTCGCTATCTAAAACTTCAATTGGTTGACAGTCAAAGTTGTGGTCGTAGTGAAAGACCCTCTTTCCCTGTCATTCCCCCCGCCATTTGGCCAGACAATTGGGTCGGGTGTTGGTAAAAAACGGGAATCTCTGGCACGAGGGGGCCCTCCCCGACGACCCGAACCATCCTTCTCTCAAGGTAGGTAGGCCAAACGTCACACTCGACTGGGTCCCATCCAATAATTTACACTTTGCACACCACAAGACACTCGTTGCCTTTTACAATCACAATCAGCCAACTCGAATCCTCTCGACAACCTTCGGAGACAAAAGAACAAATCACGTCCTGTCTCACCTCCTTCCACAACCCAATTAGCGTCCTTTGGAGCCAAG